TATATTATATATACAATATATATATATATATTATATATATATTGTATATATATATTAGTATATATAATATATACATATATACTATATATATATATATATATATATATATATATATATATATATATATATATATATATATATATATATATATATATATATATATATATATATATATATATATATATATATATATTTCTGGGACCATATATATATGGTTGCCATTCTGTACACTGAGTTTTAATAGCATATATTGATTTAACATAAATACCTTGTGCATGTGTATATTTATTGCACCTGTATGTTCTATTCAGTGTTCTTTTCATATGAAATTCCATGGTTATAATTATTCCTAAGTGCGCAGTATCACAACTACATGTCTGACTTTTTTTTAACAAACCAAACAGTTTGAGAATAGTTAGACAATTGAGGAAGTTATGGTTATTTCAGTACATGCGCCATTGAAACACAATGCTACGAATGAGCGAGCTGCCTGTGGTAAGATGGCCGCCACGTGCGGACGTCGACCCCCATTGGCCAGCAGCGCGGACGAGACATCTAGCCTTTATTATGGATATCTATGGTCAGGGCGACATGGCATTCAGAACGTCGGACAGCACTTCTGAAAAACGAGATTGGGAGATCCCAGCTCTCGCTGCAACCGTACGCTGGAATGACCCAGATGCAAAAAAGTGCAATGTTGCAAGGAGTTTTGTGATATCTGGTATTGCGTGGGTCCTCCTTGTGGCTAGCTCCAAATCCACGCGGAGTTCCCCCAACAGCTCCAAAATGGCAATGCTGGGTAAACGATATGTTTTGATGATCGTTTCCTCGTTCATTCCAAAAATATTCACACGGAGTGAAAAAATGCGTTCTCTGAGTCTCCTTGCCTCATTTCAATGTCTCCTTCTTGCGACAATAACCGCTGCCATGTGTGCGCAATTACGCATACAGACCATTTGCACCTTCTTTTGAAACGTGTTAAATATAGAGTCAGATACCGTTAGCAAAATTGCTTTCAGGTTTGATAAATCACTTTGCGAGCGCTAAATTAATATATTTACATGTTCTCCTCCCACAAGACGCACTTTTGCGTGTAAACGCCCCATATTGCATATTCATTGCAGAAAAAGTACTAAATGGATAAGAGGCGCTATTTAGCACGTTTTAAAGACCAAATCCTTTTAGCACGCTGTTGATAGATCAGTTTGTACATTTTTTAGCGTGCGCAGTGAAATAGCTCACGTTTTTATACATGCAAACCTTTGATAGATCCGGCCCTTAGTCAGTTAAATAACATGCTGCTGTCATTTTGCACATCTCTGATGTTGCTGCTATGTTCAAATATCCATTACTATAAAAATGTCAATAGCTGTATATTGGTCATTTACTCTCCAGGTGCACAGTTTTATATTGTTAACACACTTTACCGTACAGTATTTTATTGATGATTTTTTTTAGCTCTTCACTACTATGATTTTCTTATATAATGTTTCTAAGGTCCACAGTTGTGTGACCATTTTTATATATTTTTTTCGCTACACCAGAATTTCTCCATTGTGGGGCAATAAAAGTTTTTTTTCTATTCTATTCTATTCTATTCTTATAATGTCTCCCAGGTGTTTGTTGATGTGTGAATTTGTTAGACCCTCTGACAGCAGGCTCCACTGTGCCGCTGACAGTGTTCTTGTCCTTTGTTTTCATTGGAGATGTTTCTGTTCGCTTCTGAAGTTAACTTATTGATCTCGGTTTGCATTCCTCCAAATAATCAACCCAGTGACCATCTGCTCACTGCTCAAATTTAAAACCTGCACTTTCCTATTGGAGCAAATGGAGTATTCAAAATGAAACTGAGAAGTTTTCTTCACATTTCATAATAATACTCTAAATTAAACTACTATAGTAGTTTGTGATTGTAATTTAATAAATATATGAAATATCCAGCAGGTTTAAATTATCTAGCAAGGCATCATGCAAACTGATTTGCATGTGAACCACATAAGGATAAAATCAGGCTTCTCTGATCCTAATTTTTTTTTTTTTTGATAGTAAGAGAATCCTAGTGGTTTAATGGCTCTAATATTTACTTGAATTTTTTAGCTTTGACTGATTGGATCCTGGATATAGTGTTTTGCTCCCAGACTGAGATGTTGCTGTTTCTGACTGTGAGCAAATTCCTCCAGGCAGGAATTCATTCACCAGAAGAAATGCTTTAAAGCAGAACTGTCCCACCAGTAAATCACTCACTGTGTTTTAAAAATATCCCACATGGTCAATTTGTGTCAGGTTTTCTTCAAATCGGTATCTTTCAACCATAAAACATGCTTCTTTATACTTGTCAGATTTTATGGTTTCCAATAAAACAAATCTTTTATTTAAATCTAAGTTAAGATTTACTTGCTTTAACTTTTAGAATATCTTTCATAATTGAACTCCAGATGGGCAGCAGATGAAGGACATGAATGCTTAGGTGTCCATGACCCTGATGCATCCAATACTTCCCATATGAAGCTGAGTCTGATGCAGAGGTGGAGACTGAACTTCCTGCCTTTGTTCTCGATATAAAACAGGTGTTTTCTTCATGAACACTGGATTATTCCAACACTTTGCTGAGAGTGTGTTTGCTAAGCTTACCTTAATTCAAGGCTTTAATGCTCAGACAATAAATGGGTTTGTGTTAAACAGGATGAAGGTGGCTGGGATTTTACTGGTTCTGTGCGTTAGTCTGAGTGCTGCTCAGAAAAAGAACTTGGAAGTGGATCGTAAGGATAAAGGCAAGTGCACTGTTTGTTTGTTTTTTTACTTTCCAAACTGATCTGACTGTAGAAAGAGATATAATTATATACTTTCATGAGTTGGTTTCTCTTTCTCAAATATAATTTAGATATTTTAATTTTATTGATAAATAACAACTTAATCTAAAAAAGCTACAGTCCAACTTAAAAAATAAAAGGTAATCTAGGGAAAAAATTAGGGTGATGATATGGAGGTCTCTCATAACCAAACATAAATGATCAAAATACCAATGAAAAATAAAATCATAAGTTTGTCTGCTGTAATACCAATAAAATATATGTATTTTTTTTGAATAGCTGATAAGGATTTTATTGCAGAAAAAAGATAATAGCAGAAAAAAGGGAAAATATATGTACCTCTTATTTTGGTTCAATACAAATCTGCCAGATCCAGCTTTATAGACAATAAATATTTAAATCCTATTTTCCATCTGGGTAAATAAAAACAGGAAAAATGCAACTTTTTCTAATATTATTGCATAATGTTTATATTATCTATTTTATGATGCTTTGCGGGTACTTTTGAAATGGCCAAGATGTACTAGTGCGAGTGAGATGTTGATCGATCGATCTATCTATCTATCTATCTATCTATCTATCTATCTATCTATCTATCTATCTATCTATCTATCTATCTATCTATCTATATATATATATATATATATATATATATATAGAGAGAGAGAGAGAGAGAGAGAGAGAGAGAGAGAGATATATAGATATAGAGATATATATGACTTTAGGTTTTCATTTCTTATATAAACACAGCTAGCATTCTCTACATAATATTGTTAGAAAGTTTTTAACAGCACAAACATTTTATCTTCAGGTTTGAGTTCAATTTAAAACAGTTTTCGATCACTTATACAAACCATGTAAATATAGATAAGTGCTTGCCTTAAATTTTAAGTATTTTGTAGGTAAGTTAAACAGTATTTCTTGGTTTTTTTTGTTTGTTTTTTTAAGGATGTATGAAACAGCTTTTAACCCTATCCGTTATTTTAAATCAGGTCTAGTTCAAGTGTGTAAAAGAAAATAAAAGAACATTTAAGGGAACATTAAAAGCATGCCTGTAATGTGAGTTTAGCTTGTATGATAATAACTTAAACAAATGAACTAATATTTGTTTTCTATGATTTACTAACCTGCAGTTGAGCTGATGAACACCAGAGGATGTGCGAACCTCACAATGGTTTTAGACAACTGGAAATATGCCATTATGACTCAGGTCAAAGATCTGCTGCTTCATGACCACAACACCGTGCTGCCCGACTACAGAAGGTCAGCCTTTCTTCATGTTTAATCCCTTCAAAAAAGTAACTAACCCTTGATCTATATTCCTGCTCTCCTTCAGGCTCTCCTAAAGTCTTTTTGGGGAAATTCTCTTTGGGTTTTGGTTGTTTTTTCAGTTATTACCAGTCATATACTCTCCCTGTCATCAGCTAAACTCTGACACAAGAAATATTTGATCATAAAAAGCTTTAAAACTAGAGGCCATGCCTACTTTAGATGAAGCTCTCATTTGCCTTCAATGATAATAGTTGGATGCACAGAAATAGGGACTTAGCCGCAAAAACAGTTTGCAAAAAGTTATTTGCCTGAAACCAAAAAAATGGTCGACAATCCTCTGTTTAGTCCGATGGTCTGAAACCTTTACAATCCAGGGGGACATTTCGTCTTCAGTCCAGCTAATAAACACGTTTAAAGCTGCAAAAAAAAAAATGTGGGCTTTAAAAGAAAAAAAGTTAAATGTGATATCAGGGAATGTGTAATTTCTTCTTTTTTTTTTTGGAAAGATGAATGCACTTTCAACGTATTGTTGAAACATATTGTAAAATTATATTAAAAGAACATTTTCCAGTTAATAAAATATACACAGCTGTTGTATTTTGTCTTTTTTTCAAGAAATTTGATGCAATTAATGAATTGAGGAAATATTAAAACCTTTTTTTTAGTATATCTATATTTCAAAGGATTAGTCAGTACTTTTACAATTACATTTTATATTAAATTTAGACATATTCCCTCTTTTGGATTGCATTGTTGTTTTGAGAAAATTTATCTCACTAGTTTGGAAAAACTGTTTGTAGCTGAATTATTTGCTAGTTGTTTGTTACGTCTTATCTTTGACAGTGGAAGCAGATATTTGTTTTATTATCGGTGATGAAAGGATAAATCTGTGTTCAACTCTGCAGGATTCAGCCTCTGTCAGAAGCTCTGGGAGATCTCTACAAAGAGTTCAACTCCCTGAAGGAGCGTCTCGTCCAGCTCACAGCCAGGTTTGAAGATGTCGAGAAATTTGTGGACGACGTTCGATCGGGAGGAAAACGTGCAGCACAAAGCAGAGAGTTCCAGACCTCCAGATGGACGACAGGACATGAGGGAGCAGCAGAAGGTGGAGGTCCACCTACTGGGAGGAAAACCAGAGTCATAGTTCGTAGAATCCAGAAAATAGTTGGCTCACAGCACTGATGATGACATGCTGCAGCACAGACCTCATTTCAGATCCTGATTTATTCATGTCAATGTACTTTAGCAGCGTCTGAGCCTATGTTGGAGGTTTCCTTAAAGAAAATTATACTTTAGGTCTATGCTGCACAGAGGCGTAGCCAGAAAATCCTAATAGGGGTGGCCAGTCAATGACCAATGAACACTGAGGGGTGGCCGAAAGGCACCAGAACCTCAGAGCCAATCTACACTGTTCCAACAGGAACGAGCACAACATCCATATTTTCTAAATAAAGACAAACTATACTTTCCTGCAGCCTTTGCTAACAAATAGATGCAGATATTTAAACATCAATGCTGTGTAAATAAAAGGTATAGTGAACAAAATTCTTTCAGGTTTGAGTTTTGGGGCAAACATATTTCACTTGTCATTACCTACTTTTATCAATAATCATTCTGCAAAAAAATATATATATTTAAATCTACTAATATTCACCTTTAATGAATTTTTATGTTATTAATAAAGTAATTTGTCTATGATTTCACTGAATACTCTGTGATGACTTGCAGAGGCACATAATTTTATCTTTACCAAATAATTCAAAATTTAGTTCTGAAAAGAGTATCTTTAATTCCGTAAAAGTTTAAAAAACAATCCACTGGACTTGGTTTCCAAGGTTTGAAGACGTTTCGCTTTCCCTCCAGGAAGCTTTTATCAATTCCAATGTCTGGATCCGCAGTGAGTTTGAGGCTTTATGGAGACAAGGCCTTGTATTGCATGGAAACATGCAAATGGTAACCGATGAATGGGTCGTTTGGTTCCATTGTTAGCCTGTAATATCTGAAACCTGTCTATGATTCTGAAGGTTGGTCGTTAAAGGGGGGGATTGTCGTTAAAGGGGGGATTGTCTCCTGTAATAGCTGAAACCTGTCTACGATTGTTAAGGGTCGTTCGGTCCAGACATTTGAATTGAGAAAGCTTCCTGCAGGGGAAGTTAAACGTCTTTAAACCATGGAAACAAAGTTCAGTGGATTGTTTTTTAAACTTTTACGGAATGACTATGACCTGGATGACTGAGAATCTTCATCAGCAGTATCTTTAATGTTTGTATATTGATGTGCATAATTAACCACAGTGTCTCTGTTGTCAAGTAGTTGTTAATATATGAAAAATGTAAATGTTTAATAAGTTTGAAAATTCCCCTTCAGATTATTACTGCTGCCACCATCTGTATTAGAGGGGGGAAAAAATGGTAGGGGTGGCCAATGATTGGCTAAGGCCACCCCTGGCCCCCCATCTAGCTCCACCCCTGATGCTGCACCATTAAATGTCCAGATGTTGATCTTAAATATTATTCTTTAACAGATATTTACTACAAGTTAATAACAAAGGTGTTTTACTCATTAAACAAATGTTGTCACAACAAATGTCCTTTTCCTGAAAAAGAAAAGTGAGGAAATCCTAGCATTACCATTTTGAAATGTAATGGAACCCCCCTCCCACACACGCACAAAAAAAATACTTAAGTAGAATTACTCAGAAAAAAGCAGTATTTAAGTACAGTAATCAAGTAGATATACTTTACTTTCCACCACTGAAAATGGAACTTGTCTGTCATCATAACAGAGGCCATTTGTGGCCTATTGTACTTAACTGTAAAAAAAACCTTTTTATAGTAATAACCACCTGTATATTATATTTGGTACATATCCAGCTGTAAATTTACTTCATAACACTTGTTATCTATATATTACATTCATCTATTAGTAAGATTCTGTATATAATGGTATTCATCTCTATACTTATTCAGCAGAACCCATGTCCTGTATTTATGGAACCATTATCTATCCTGCACTTTCTGCTATTGCACTTCTGGTTAGACCTAAACTGCATTTCGTTGCCTTTTCCCTTTTCCCAATGTAATGACAATAAAGTTGAATCTAATCTAATCTAATTTCATGTTTAATGCAGACTAGTTTCAGTGATCTATGGAGACAGACAGGAGATGGAGGAGCCCCTGGATGGAAATGTTTTGCTTCAGTGGGATCTGACCAGCTCACCATTATAGAATCCATGGGCTGTACATGCAAAATCTGATTTCTCAGGATTGGGGTTAACTTTTTTTCTGACTGATATGAGAAGTATTATTTTACTCCAAAGTCTAATATTAAAATTTCTACTCCAATGCGTTTCCAGGAAGCTGCTAGTTACTTGTTCCTTTTGGCTCAGCTTAGCTTTATAATCCACTGTTGCTGTCTTTCTTTTTTGAAGTACAATTTCACCTATAATATTGTTATTGTTATTAGTCTTTGAACAAAATACCTGCATATTGATGGATGAATCACAGGCAGAACAAGAAGGCATAACAATCTATCTGCTGAATCCAGCAGCTTGTGACTTTTAGAACAAGTTTAAGCATATTTTGCTTGGAGTAAAAAGGAAGGATATGACGGGTTTTCGGATCTGGCTGAACAACTTGTTTCCTCATTTGTTCATAACAACCGACCAGTCCTTTCTGTGAAAAAAATGAATCTTCATTTCTCTGAACTAACATTTCATCCCATCTTTAATTAATGTGGACTTTAACTAGACCAGTGTATGACTATGGTTTGATTTAAACCATTTCATTGCAGCTCAGGCTCAAGGCCCCTACTTATTAGGTCTTGCTCTCACGTCTGTGAAAATAAAAAAATTTGCTTGGAAAAGGAGGGATTTAGATAAATAGAATTAGGCTTTAACAGCAATACACCAGTCAGGAAAGAAAACAGGAGAGAAACAAGTTAATATCAACACAAAGCAGACATCTCTGCAAGTTTTTATTTTCTTCGAAGTATTTAAAAAACTACAAAAGTATTGGATAATTTTTCTGAAAACCCAGCTATCCAACTCCAGCAAAGATCCATATATAAAGAACCAGAATGAATGTAATGATTTACAGCAGCGGTCCCCAAACTTTTTTGCATCACAGACCGCTATATGTCAGACAATATTGTCACGGACCGGCCGGGGGGGATTTTACGAACTGGTGATTTTACGATCAAGTAAAATGATACGACTGGCATAAAATCAAATACAAACAGCATTAAAATAAAACAACAAGCCGGTCCCATCTAGGCGTAATCGGAGACAATGACACATGAAGTGTGCTCCTGATGTCCAGTCTGCTCCGTAGTTTTGTTTTGGTCGCTGTAACAGCAGAAAATCCTGCTTCACAAAGATAGGATGTTATAGATAGGATGAGTCTTGAGCTGAATTAACCTGTGTCAAGAGGCACAGATGCACCGACTGATGTAATTGGGAGAGAATACCGCAATTTTTTATATTTTTCAAAATAAAACATCACTCAGACTCTGATCGTCGATCAATTATATATATACTTTTTTCTGTACGGCCAGGTACCGGTCCGCAGCCCGGTGGTTGGGGACCGCTGATTTACAGCACAGGAAAATCAGAACACCTCAATCCAAAATGCTTTTTAGTAAAAAAAAAAAAAAAACAGAAACTTAAACTGCAATAACCTTAGAAACACAATAGAAACACTTTAAACACAGAAATAAACATGAAGCATACAACTTCTGACTTTTGCTGTACGATTTAGAACTCTTCGCCCTCCTCATCTTCATCTATACCGTCGTGCCCCACCTCCTCATAATCTTTCTCCAGAGCAGCCATGTCCTCTCTGGCCTCAGAAAACTCCCCCTCCTCCATGCCCTCGCCCACATACCAATGGACAAAGGCCCTCTTGGCGTACATCAGGTCAAACTTGTGGTCGAGACGCGCCCAGGCTTCAGCGATGGCTGTGGTGTTGCTCAGCATGCACACGGCCCTCTGAACCTTGGCCAGGTCTCCCCCAGGAACCACGGTGGGAGGCTGGTGGTTGATGCCAACTTTGAAACCAGTGGGACACCAGTCCACAAACTGGATGTTGCGCCTGCTTTTCATGGTTGCTATGGCAGCGTTGACATCCTTCGGCACCACATCCCCTCTGTACAGCATGCAGCAGGCCATGTACTTGCCGTGGCCGGGCTCGCACTTCACCATCTGGTTGGATGCCTCAAAGCAGGAGGATGTGATCTCAGATACAGTGAGCTGCTCATGGTACGCCTTTTCAGCTGAGATGACAGGGGCATAGGCAGCCAGTGGGAAGTGGATCCGAGGATAGGGCACCAGGTTGGTCTGGAACTCTGTCAGGTCAACATTCAGAGCTCCATCGAAGCAAAGAGATGCCATGATGGAGGACACCAACTGAGCCACCAGCCTGTTGAGATTAGTGTAGGTTGGACGCTCAACGCCCAAGTTCCTGTGGCAGATGTCATAGATGGCCTCATTGTCCATCATGAAAGCACAGTCTGAGTGCTCCAAGGTGGTGTGGGTAGTGAGAATGGCATTGTAGGGCTCCACTACAGCCGTGGAAACCTGAGGAGCTGGGTAGATGGCGAACTCGAGCTTGGACTTTTTACCATAATCTACAGACAGGTGCTCCATCAAGAGGGAGGTGAAACCAGAGCCGGTTCCTCCGCCAAAACTATGGAAGATCAGGAAGCCCTGAAGCCCGGTGCACTGGTCACACTGTGTACAGAGAGGGAGAACAAGAAGGACGCTTAAAAATCTCATTTCAAATACACTTCAGCTGGCCTCAGCAGGAGCTGGATTCAAACTCCAGCAGCCCTATTAATATTGCCTTAAATATGTGGAAACTCAATAAATCCAACATTGAATCCACCTACCAGTTTACGGAGTCTGTCCATAACAGGTTCAACAAGCTCTTTCCCGATGGTGTAGTGTCCACGGGCGTAGTTGTTAGCAGCATCCTCCTTCCCAGAGATCAGCTGCTCAGGGCTGAACAGTTGTTTGAAGCGCTCAGTTCTCACTTCCTCTAAGAGACGCATTTTAATTATATACCGGATTTATTTGTTTGACTGAGTATAAAGATAAATAAGAGCAAATAAATAAAGATATTTACCAACAACAGTGGGCTCCAAGTCCACAAAAATCGTTCTAGGGACATATTTTCCTGCTCCAGTCTCACTGAAAAAGGTGCTGAAAGAGTCGTCTCCTCCACCGGTGCGCATTTCACTTTGAATATGGCCGTCTGGCTGGATCTCATGTTCAATGCAGTAGAGCTCCCAACAGGCATTCCCGATCTGAACGCCAGCCTGGCCAACGTGGATGGAGATGCACTCACGCTGACAAAAAAACAAACAAAGATTACATAATTACCTTACATTTTATAACAATTTGGTTATAAACGGAGACAAATAGTCATGTCATTCAAACAGATATAATTTAACAGCATATCTTCTGGGGCTAATGTATACATGCCACAGTATTATACAATTGTAATGATTATCCTATAATCCCTCAATTCTCATTCCTGTTGGAGGCAGTGGAGTCAAATATGAGATTATAACACTTGTTCAAAACTTCTGCCAGTTACCTAAATTCCTAACGGGGCAAAATAAATAAATAACAGAGACCGAAATACAAATACATTGACCTTATTGTTGGTAAAAACCAAACCTGACCTAAGTTCAAAGTGACTGAAAACTTTTGTTGTCAATAAAAACTACAATTTCGTTAATAAAGTAAAAGCCTTGCCTGTTGAATTAAAATGCTAGCTTGTTCGAAGCATTCGGCTCAACTTCCATTAATGTCAGTTTACAAGCCTACATTCAAATATATTTAAAAAACTTTTCATATTAATCTTACCATTTTGTAAAGTCGTTGCTGTTAACTTTAACTGAAACCGTTCAAAACGCTCCAATCTATCCGTTGTGCTGCTGACAGGACATAAAATAAAGAAAATCTAAACGGTTTGAGCTCATTTGTGAAATGGACCATACCATTACGCTGTAGGGGATGTTGGACTTTACCATTGATCATTGACCACAATAATAATATAACAAAAATCACAAAATCAACTAAAACTTATCAGTAATAATTTTTGTACTTAATTATTATCCCCAATACAAAACTTAAAAATGAGAGATTGTTAAATGCAAGATTATTAACATCAATAGAAGACGTTTAGAAATATTAGATCTTTTAAATAGACTTGTACATGAAATAACTTACACTTTCTCAATGTATCAGTTCTGCTGCACATGATATATTAAGTTAAAAATGACCACTGATCAGCTAAGGTTGAATGGTGACACAAAATACTGTAGATATCAAAATATTGGTGAACATCCGTTGGAAAGCGTCTTATTGGCAGCAAACTGCAATTGTTTTCAAACAAAGTTATTCAAAACCCTACAAGTAAGGTTTAGAACTTAGTCTGACAGTCAGCTCAGCTGAGAATATGAATACGTCATTAATGACTTCTAGGGATACATTTATGAAAAATAATCTTACCTTTATTCCTGCTTTTGTTATGTATGTTCATGTCTGCACATAGGATAGTCCTAATCAGGAAAATCATCACTTCATAGTTATATTTAAATCGTACAAACAACTAATAATTGTTAAAGCCTTGCATTTTGGAGTGATACATGCTAAGAACAAATGTTTTCAATAAGGTCAGATATACTACTGATTTATTGCTCATATCATCTCTTAATATATATACAGAAATTTATCTTTTAAAAAGACAAAATTGTAAGCTTTGAGGGTAGTTGTGAATTAGTCTGTTTCAATGCTGAATTGTAACAGTAAATGGCCTTTACAGTGTCTATTCAAGTCAGCGGACTCCAGAGGGCTTAGATTACACTATAAATCAAAAGAACAAGATTTGTCCTTGCAGCCTCATATTGGGGGATCATTTCTTGTTTTTTTTTTGGAGTATGTAACATGCTTTAGGGTAATTGCCATGCTGGATATCTTCAACAGTCTTTTTTAAATATATCTATGAAGTGATGATTTTCCTGATAAAAACTATCCTAAATAGCATAAATAGCTAAACAGGAATGAAGGTAAGATTATTTTTCCTTAATTTTGTTCTAAAAGTCATTAATTGAGGGGATTGTCGGCCTATGGTTAGGGCAGTGCGCTTGGAATCCAGAGTTTCTGAGTTCAAGGCCCAATCCCACAGACTGACACTCTGGGTCTGTGAGCAAAGACCCTTAACCCCTTGACCTGATGTACGACAAGAGGGCCTTTGTCCATTAGTATGTTGGCGAGGCCATGGAGGAGGGGGAGTTTTCTGAGGCCAGAGAGGACATGGCTGCTCTGGAGAAAGATTATGAGTGTTGGGATCCAGAGGTTTGCCCTCCAGAGGGCAACGTGGATCCCTTCCTGTGGGCTTCTGTTACTGTTGGGATCCAGGGGTTTTGCCCTCCAGAGGGCGACGTGGATCCCTTTCTGTGGGTTTCTGTTTTCTCTGTTGGGATCCAGAGACTTTCCCACCAGAGGGCGCCGTGGATCCATTCCTGGGAGCTGCTGCTCAGCGCTCACAGCTGACCCCCATCAGCTGATTAGGAGCTCTCACTTTATAAGCTGTTTAGGAGCTCCATTCTGAGCCGGATTGTTTTCCTTGCCATGGAAGCAAACCTGAGCCACCCTGCCTGTTTGACCCTGCCTGTCTGAACCTGTGAACCTGTAAGTCAGAACCTGAATCTGCAAACCTGAACCTAACCTGCTCTGTTTTCTCTGCCTTCCAGGGCAGAACCCTGTCAATAAATATTGGACTTTAATCCTGCCTGTGTGTTCTGTGAGTTCTGCATCTGGGCTAGTAAACCTGCAACATCATGACAGAACAATCCGGCCAACAGACTAGCCCAGCAGACTCACTGGAGCCGCCCCCGTGGATGTGGAAGGAGGAACCGACTAACTCCACGGAACCACATGGGTTGGTTTCGTACCGTCGATGGCTGGAGATTCTGACCCGTCTGGAGACCCCTGAGCCCGCTCTAAGCCGTCTGGAGACCCCTGAGCCCGCTCTGAGCCGTCTAGAGACCCCTGAGCCCGCTCTGAGCCGTCTGGAGACCCCTGAGCCTGCTCTGTGTCTTCCAGAGATTCCTGATTCGGAGCCACAGTCGGTGGTTTCCGGCGCTCCTGATGCGGAACCGCAATCGGCGGCTTCCTCAGTTCCTGATTCGGAGCCGCAGTCGGCGGTTTCCAGTGCTCCTGATTCGGAGCCACAGTCGGTGGCTTCCGGTGTTCCTGTGGAGCCACAGTCGGTGGCCTCCTCTGTTCCAGATCCGGAGCCGCAATCGCCGGCTTCCTGTGTCCTGTGGAGCCACAGTCGGTGGCCTCCTCTGCTCCTGATGTGGAGCCACAATCGGGGGCCTCCTCTGTTCCTGATCCGGAGCCGCAATCTGCGGCCTCCTGTGTTCCTGTGGAGCCACAGTCGGTGGCCTCCTCTGCTCCTGATGTGCAGCCACAGTCGGTGGCCTCCTCTGCTCCTGATGTGGATCCGCAATCGGCGGCCTCTTCAGTTCCTGATTCGGAGCCGCAGTTGGCGGCCCTGTCTGAGCCTGTTGCAGAGCAGCAGAAGCAGAGACGGCGTCCTCCTCAGAGCTTCCTGCAGAAGCAGAGACGGCGTCCTCCTCGGAGCTTCCTGCAGAAGCAGGGATGGCGTCCTCCTCCGGGGTCCCTGCAGCTTCTGAGACTCTGGCCCCCGGAGTGTCTGCCTCTGCTCCGGTTCCGCGGCCGGCCTCCGGAGCGACTGCTTCAGCTCCGTTTCCACGGCCGGCCACCTGAGACTCTGTCTTGCCTCCGGCCCCACGGCCGGCCACCTGAGATTTTCCCTGTCCTCGCCCGCCCTGGGTGGGTTGTTTTTGGTTCTTTTTTTTTGTTTTTGGGCGTCTGGTATCCGCCCTTAAGGGGGGGGGTACTGTTGGGATCCAGAGGTTTGCCCTCCAGAGGGCAATGTGGATCCCTTCCTGTGGGCTTCTGTTACTGTTGGGATCCAGGGGTTTTGCCCTCCAGAGGGCGACGTGGATCCCTTCCTGTGGGCTTCTGTTACTGTTGGGATCCAGGGGTTTTGCCCTCCAGAGGGCGACGTGGATCCCTTTCTGTGGGTTTCTGTTTTCTCTGTTGGGATCCAGAGGCTTGCCCACCAGAGGGCGCCGTGGATCCATTCCTGGGAGCTGCTGCTCAGCGCTCACAGCTGACCCCCATCAGCTGATTAGGAGCTCTCACTTTATAAGCTGTTGAGGAGCTCCATTCTGAGCCGGATTGTTGTCCTTGCCATGGAAGCAAACCTGAGCCACCCTGCCTGTTTGACCCTGCTTGTCTGAACCTGTAAGTCAGAACCTGAACCTGTAAACCTGAACCTAACCTGCTCTGTTTTCTCTGCCTTCCAGGGCAGAACCCTGTCAATAAATATTGGACTTTAATCCTGCCTGTGTGTTCTGTGAGTTCTACATCTGGGCTAGTAAACCTGCAACATCATGACAATGAGGAGGTGGGGCACCACGGTATAGATGAAGATGAGGAGAGCGAAGAGTTCTAGACTGAATTGTGGAGCAAAAGTCAGAAGGTGTTTGTTTCATGTTTATTTCTTTGTTTGAAGTGTTTCTAGTAACTGTTATTGCAGTTTAGTTTTTTTTTTTTTTACTAAAAAGCATTTTGGATTGAGGTGTTCTGATTTACATGTGCCATAAATCATTACATTAATTCTGGTTCTTTATATATGGATCTTTGATGGAGTTGGATAGCTGGGTTTTCAGAAAATTATCCAATTCTTTTGTAGTTTTTTAAATATTTTGGTTGAAGAAAATAAAAACTTGCAGAGATGTCTGTTTTGTGTTGATATTAACTTGTTTCTCTCCTGTTTTCTTGCCTGACTGGTGTATTGCTGTTAAAGGCTAATTCTATTGATCTAAATCCCTCCTTTTCCAAGCAAATTTTTTTATTTTCACAGACGTGAGAGCAAGACCTAATAAGTAGGGGCCTTCAGCCTGAGCTGCAATGAAATGGTTTAAATCAAACCATAGTCATACACTGGTCTAGTTAAAGTCCACATTAATTAAAGATGGGATGAAATGTTAGTTAAGAGAAATGAAGATTAATTTTTTTCACAGAAAGGACTGGTCGGTTGTTATGAACAAATGAGGAAACAAGTTGTTCAGCCAGATCCGAAAACCCGTCATATCCTTAATAATGTTAGTTAAGAGAAATGGAGATCGGTTGTTATTAACCAATGAGGTAACATAATTTATTAAGTTGTTCAGCCAACTCCGAGAACCCGTCATAGCAACCGAATGCTTCAGGTTTGGCCACAAAGCTAGGTTAATTGATTAATTGGCTCTCGTCTGACAGAAGCTAAAATGCTTGTGTTTTGAGTTTGATCAACACATTTTTGCTGTTATCCGCAATGACATGGATGCCTTTTGTCATGATTTTATCAAGAGCTTGGACCCACATGCAAAGAAACCAATCCAGAGAGACCAGGGGAAGAAATTGAACAGGTTTATTGAGAAGTTTGTGGAGATTCCAGTGTTGCTCTGAACACTGCTCAACCAGAACTGAAAGGTGAGGGAAAGACACTGCGGTTAGTTCAGGTTCAGTGGGAAAATTGATTCTCGAACTTGAAGAGGAGGAAAGGTAGGCAGACTCACGTTTTCAGAGAATTGGTTGACTCTTAGACTCCAGTAGGTGAGGGATGAGTTCCGGTGTTTGTCTCGTACGGTGGAGGGCGGACAGGGTTACCCAAAATGTGGTTGCTTGTAGATGAAAGGAGAAAACTGACTGCCCCTCAGATTTCCTGCGGTACTTAAACTGACTGTATTGCAGATGAATCCCTTGCTCAGTGTGAAACTCAAACGATTCCTCTGGGGAAATTGGATCCAAACCTCCGGTTTGTATCCCCAGCTCAGTTTGAAGCTCAGTAGATCCTTCCAGGGAAAGAAGATCCAAAAATCCAGTTTTCAGAATGACTTCCTGCCGAGAGTTAAAGACAAAAAAAATAACGTTAAGCATCAGGTTGACAAAACTCAGTTTGACTCAGCAAAACTCAGCTTGGCTAGAGTACCCAAAACTGGTAAACACTCTGACGTTGAGGTAGTGGCAGTCAGCAGCTTAAGAGCACTCCGTTAACGAGGTAACCCCTTGCAGGTGTGTGAGGAGGAGAATCAGAACCAGGCGCCGCCTGGTGGAGGAAGGAAGACAAACACACAAGAAACACAGACCACACAGACTGGAGTTCCCCAACAACTTTGGCCTGGTGGGGACAGTCCCCACCAATAATCAAGTGAGAATGCAGTAATGCATTGCTTTCTCACTTTCATTTTTCTGTCTCTAAGTAGTCCCGCATATTTCAATATTTTGAAATATTATTATTATTATTTCTGGCCCATGGAAATTAATGGAAAACTTCAAAAATTCCACTAAAAGTTCAGCTACTTTGCCCTTTCTTGTTTCCAAGTTTAGCTTATTTCTGTATGACCTTTCTGTCCATATTTTACATTACTTCAACTTTTCAACACTTTAATGAAGTTTCTCATGTAGCACTAAGCTGCTCATTCAATACCACATTCTTCAACATTTTAACCAAACCTTTATTTCTTCAACCAGGTAACATTCATGTTTTTCTTGCAATTTTCTTTTCTGATTCCGCTCATTTAATACATTTCAGCCTATATTTTCAAAACTGCCTTAATTCAGCTTCATCTTTCTGGACAAGCATTAAGCTTTTCTGTTCGCTGCTAATTCATAACATGCCTGACATGTTTCTGATGTCGGCTTCAGCTTGCTTCTGCTTTTTTTCAATAAAGAAATTAAGCATTTATCTTTTCTTCTATTTCATGTCATTTCAAGTTGTTTCTGCCATTTTGAGCTTACAGTTTAGCGCACAGCATTCTCACAGCTTAGCAGGAACAGCTATTTTTCTAGTTTCAATAGACTTTGGCGCTCAGCAATATGTGGGACAAATTTCTAAATTTGATTTTGCTGCTTTTGAAGGAGGATAATCACTGGTGTAACTGAAAGGAAAAATATCAAATCAATCAATCCACATTTTTCTGGATGGATTGATGAATGAAACTGAAATTGTTTCCATACTAGGGAGGCATGATATATTGCTGCTGGCATCAGAATCGGCTGTTATTCATGCTTTTTTTAAATTAAATTTTAAAATTTTAAATTAATGTCTAACTACCCATAAATATAAATATCAGTTTATTTTGGTTCTAGTGTGTTCTCAACAATAGGAAAGCATTCAATAAATATATGTTTGAGCTCACTTTTGGAAAATACAAACCCCTATTGAAAATGTCCATCAGCCACCACTCTTAGAGTGTCCCCACCAACTTTCATAACCAGGTTACACCATTGATTGGAGGGAAATTATCTCTCTGATCAGTTGTTTTGGGTTTGACTCTTCAACTCTGAAGCTTGTGAGTTGTCCTGTTCTCAGCTAGGTTTATAAATGCTCCCTCAGATGTTCAAAAGCCACAAAAAAGGACTGACCAGACAGGGATTATTAAAGTACATATACAGAACGTCCAAGTCTAGATTTTATTGCTGTCACTCATCATTCTTTTGCTGTAATTCACCTCAGACTGTTAGTTGTTTTCCCTTTACATCTTCGTGTCTATGTGGGAAAAAAAGCAAAGTAAACAAGTGACTTTTCATTTTTTGCTTAATGTGGGCCTTTATTTTTTTTCACGAAGAAGAGACGTGGCTCCTGTAGAACATAGGTCTGATCTCCTTCCCACGCGTGAAAGCTTCTGGGTGTTCAGTGGTACTGCTTTCCCAGAGCGGACACCACCACAGCCAGGAACTTCTGGAAAGCTGCCTGAACCTCTGGGGTGAAAGCAGAGCCCATCTTGGCGGCAATGACGATGGTCAAGCAGTCAGCCAGCAGCTGCGGAGAGGGAAACGCATGCGCATCGGATGGCTTTTACGCATGGGTGTCTGTGTGTGTGCCAGGAGCTGGTGGAGCTCCACGCCTCACCTTGAAGTTGTCGGGGTCAACGTGCAGCTTCTCGGAGTGCAGCACGCTCAGCTCAGCGTAGGTGGCCTTAATGTTGTCCATGTTCTTGACGGCGCGGTCCAGTCCGTGCAGCACCTTGATGCCGTGCGCCTGGACGTTTGGGTTGCTTTTGATGGCCTCAGCGTTGTAGAGGTTACCGAAGCTGGCGAAGTACCTCTGAGTCCAGGGGTAAACGATCAGGCACCTGGAGAAGGAGCAGAGATTTAATAGATCGGTTTGGACTCAGGAGGATGAGAGGAACCGGGTCAGTACCTGCTGAGGGCCTTGGGGCCTGCATCGTTATAGTCCAGGCTGGAGAAGATGGAGTTGATGATGCTGCGTTCCTGCTCAGACCACACAACCATGGCTGCTCTGGATTGTTTTCTTTTGGTTCAGGCTTGAAAGAAAAAACGCTGAATAGAGCTGCGTGTTGAGTCGGGTCTATTTAAATGTCCCCATGGGCCCCCCACGCCCTGAGAAACGAGCCTGTTGATAGGCTGGAGATGATGCGCTTGAGATAAACCAAAGACCTCTCCAGAAGTAACTAGAAGAGTTTAGAATATTCTCTTTATTAATATTAATCATAAGGCTATTAAGAATTAATTTTCATGATCAAACCCCAGTTACCATTTTTTTCTGTCAATAAATCTAATTTTAGCAGAAATTACCCAATTTTCTTTAATTGAATTTAATTATAGCTATAATAAGGAGCTCCTTTAAATATTTGGAAAAAAAAATTAAAGACTGAATAAAGAGAACTGTTAAGCCATTAGTAATAAATTTCTCAATACATATTTTTTATCATTAAGTTGTATTAATACAAACACATAATATGAATAATTTCATATAACAGTTTCTTCCACACTGCCATTAGTCTACTGAATGTTTTGTAAAATAGGTAATTGTATTGTATTTTATTATATTTATTATATTTTATCATTATATAACAACAAACAAACAAAAAAAAAAACATTAGAAGTGTAAATTTACAGTCATATGTTTATATTACTGTTTTTATATATTTATTTAAATTTTTTTTAACTATTTTTCAAGGCTGCACTTTTCAAAAATTTGAAATTGTCCAGAGAGCTGTTCCAAACGAAATTTCTTTTAGTTTTACACTTGTGTAAACAAAATGACAAATAAAATCTGTCTAAGTCTAAAAAAAGAACGCATCCAATTTTTGCATTTACTTAATCATATTTAGTTACTTTAACACAATTGTTATTTGTCCTACCCTGCTAACATGAAACAATTGTGTTAAAGCAACTAGATATGATTAAGTAAATGCAAAAATCGGATGCATTCTTTTTTTCAAGTCAGAAAACTCATGCTGTATGTCAAGTTTATTTTGCAAATATTCTACAAGATATACAAAAAGTATCTAAATGTATCCATAAGAAAAACAGGTGTACAGAATTTCTATTACAATAACCACGAATTACAGATCAGCATTGTGTATTATTCATATAAGAAAAAAACAAGAGGTTTAGGAGTATTTATAAAGTCTACAATGTTGAAATAAAATCAAATAAATCATTGCATTCTTTTATCAAACTTATGGCTTCCTCACTCAGATCCTATTCCATATTTCATGCAGTTTGCATGAATGTTTGGTACAGTAGGAGTTATCAGCTGGAGCACCCGGCTGTTATCTGCAGCAGCGGCCCCTCCACCCAGTCCCCCTGGTGCCAAACTCAGGCGTTTGGATCAAGAGAAAATACTTGAGCGCGATGATAACAGCTGCATGTGGGTGCTGTTTAATACCAGTGATAGAAAATAAATTAATCAGGAGAGTCAAGAAATGTTTATATAAAGAATGTAGTCACTGATAAATCTTTGACAGATTTCAGAGCTGTTTTTTTAAATTAATGGGATGAAATGATTGATAGAGCTGCTGAAGCCTTTTTTTATTATTTATATATCTTTATCTATTTATTATCTATCTAACAAATAATAATTAAAATGATCATTTACAAGTTATAGAAAACAAAACCGGCATGTAAGCGCTATGAAATGATTTTTATAAATTAAAATCTGACTTTATATATTTTCTAAAAGTGTGTATGTGTATATAAATATATATATATATATATATATATATATATATATATATATATATATATATATATATATATATATATATATATATATATATGTAGTGTATATATATATATATATATATATGTATGTGTATATGTATATATATATAAATTATATGTGTATACATATATATATACTTATTATATACTAATTAGATGTTATTGTTATAGAAAATTTTCTGGGGAAAAAACAAAACAAATAACTTATATTTTTGAAAGAAAACATACATTAAAAGATGTTCAAATGTGTTCCAACATATTTTGGTTAATTTCACAAATCAAATCCATGTTTACAGTACTTTTTAGTTTCTTCTTTAACTACCTTTATATAATGACTGTTGTTCAGAACAGATAATTATTTCCTCAAATCTAGATGAAGAAATATAAAGAATGTTTGGAAATTTGGGTGTTGTACAGTGCTGACTTAGCACTAAACATACCTGTTGAACTTATGGCCCAAACGTCTTTGGTTTGATCTGTTCTGATAAATTTCCAGCCTGGATCTTTTAACAGAAGGGGACAGAAAAACGCCGGCATAAATAACTTATAATCATTTTATTTACTTTGACAAAACCCTTAGTTAATTCTATAGCATAATCCTGCCACTACCATGCTTCACTATGAGAACGGCAGTATATATTAAGAGACAAAGCTGGTACTTTGGAGGTGAGGCTAAGGTGGAAAACTAATCAGATGTTTGAGTTCAGGAAGATTGAGTAATGCTGAAAGTAAAACAAACATTTTTAAATAGTTCAGCTTTTCTCCTTTTTCCCCTTTAAGATATTTGTTTTGTTTGTTTGCTTTTTTCGGTAAATAACCTACAGATAAAAATGAGAGGATTTGTCCTATTTTGTCCAATTTTATTTTATTTTGCAAATGCTCTTAATGCTTTTTAGATTAATTTATTGAATCCTCAATGTAGTGAAAGTGTGTTTGACCCCTTTCCTTGGTGAAACATCTGTTTGCATCCAATCTGCTCTGGTTATAACAGCTTCCGACCTGAAGTAACCCAAAGTGTTCCCTCTGTACCGTTTCTTTCTTTTTTCTGTCTTAACTTCTGACAGACTAAATTCTGGACCCATATGTCAGTGATCACGTTCTTGTCAACCGACGCCCGTGATGTGGCCCACTGATAGAGCCTCACCCACTGGCACCCCGCCACCGAACCTCCTATCAGGCGGGTTTGTGAGGCTCTATCTGCGTCATCGGACGTGGTCTGGCACCCGTTTGCGGGGGAGTGACACTTGGGCCAACTGAATTTAAGTGAATCACTGTCAGGTGAGACAAAGACAGAGAGAGAAGCAAGCAGACATGAGTTTGACGGACAAGGACAAGGCTGCGGTCACAACGCTTTGGAACAAGATCTCCAAAGGAGCTGATGCCATTGGATCAGATGCTCTGGCCAGGTACGTGGATCTGAATGTTCTGGTCTTGAACCGGTGGAATCATATTCATTTAAACAGAAATAATAAGAATTAGAGCTAAAAGTCTCGTATAAAGATTTTTTAAACTCATACTTTTTTTATCTGCCCTTCTAATTGAAAGATAAGCACAATCACAAGGGCCTAAAACGGTACTGAAACAGTAAGAAACTCTTTAAAAGGGTGTTCTTACATAGTGGGATGTAAACTGCTCCCATGACAACCTCAGATGTGCCATTCATTGGTATCTACTGTCTCAAGTGGAAAAAGCTCCACTCAATGCAAGGGAGAGTAAATTTCAGCTTTTAAGATTTTAAAAAAATAAATGTAATCAGTAAAATAAATCCCTATGCAAACGAGTTTCCTTTTTTCTGTGTACATGATGCCAGTGAAAAATGTGTTAACCTTTTCTATCCTGTTCTAATTTTCAGTGTAACACTCCAGACCATGTTTTCCTCTTAGTAGTTAAAAAGAATTGCAATTTTCTAAAAAAAAAAAAATGAAAAAACTTGTGTTGATTGGTCGGTCATGCACTAGAGCTTCTGTCACCTTTGACCTCTTTTATACCCGCAGAATGCTTGTGGTTTTCCCCCAAACCAAGACGTACTTCTCCCACTGGCCTGACCTGAAACCAGGCTCTGCTCCCGTAAAGAAGCACGGCAAAAAGATCATGGAAGGCGTTGCTCAGGGGGTGTCCAAGATCGATGACCTGAGCAATGGCTTGCTGGACCTCAGCGAGCTTCATGCCTTCCAGCTGAGGGTGGACCCAGCCAACTTTAAGGTACCGCTCAGATAAAAGAATGAGATTGCTTTTTAAATTAGCTTTTATTGAGTTTCCACTTTTAAAACCTGCGCCTCAAATGTGTTTTTCCACAGATCCTGGCCCAATGCCTCCAGGTGGTCATCGCCACCATGTTCCCCAATGACTTCACCCCGGAAGCCCACGTCGCCTTTGATAAATTCCTCTCCAACTTGGCTCTGGCTCTCTCTGAGAAGTACCGCTGATCTGGGCTCAACCACACCGAAGCCATGCATAACTCAGTGAACGCAACGGAGCAATAAAAAGCATGCCACCCAACCTGTCTCCCGTCTTTATTTGTGATATCATCTTAAACTTAAACAAAACAAATGAAAACAAACCATAGAAAAGTTACATTTGGTTTTCATTACACATGAAAAAAAACAGCTCTTGCAAAACTCAGCATGAAATAAGAAAATATAGCAAAAAAAAAATGAAACATTATATGACTGGAAAAGCATGCACTGATAATGTTTACGACTTCAATATCACCTCCATGACAGTAAAGAGAGTCCTCATGATTTCATAACAACTCGTAACTTATTGTCTCCCAGGATGAGCCTGAAACAGAGCGAAAGGACATCACAGTTTTATAGGTTTGGCCCATCATCTATGTTAATGTTTATTATAGGAGCAGATACCTGACCAAAGCCGCGGACGCCATTCCCCCTCCAATAGGCCCGACCCAGTAGACCCAGTGGTAGGTCCAGTAGTTGGTCATCACAGCTGGACCGAAAGCTCTTGCAGGATTTAAACAGGTTCCTGATATGTCAGCTCTGCATCCCCACCAAACAAAATCAGTTATTCGTATATAGCATTTACTCATTTTTTTATATTAAAAATTATGAAATAATGGAGTTAATTTCTCCATTGTGATATCAATCAAGTTTTGTTCTATAATTGGTAAATTCAAAGGAAAATACGACCATATTTATACCTCCTTGTTCAGAAAGAAAACCTCAGTTGTAGACAGAATAGCCACACAATTGGGGCTGCTGAGGTCAACAAGTGATGTTTTGTTTAATCTATGATATATCATCTTTCTAACACCTACTCTGACCTGCTTTTAACCATCTCAGACCCAGTTTGTTATTTCTACCAGATACAGAAAGGCTTTCTCAAAATGAATGTTAAACAATGATAATAGCACATCTGATAACTTCTGCAGTGTTCTGGCTTGATTTCTCAGCCATTATTCTTACCCTGCCAAGATGTTGAGGATGACAGTGCAGCCCACCAGAACAGGGGCGAGTGGCGTTTTCGTCCGGCTGTTGACCGCCGCCATCAGCAACACCATGGTCACCAAGCAAGTCATCGCCACCTCTCCGAAGAGGGCCCTATACAGCTGGCTCTGAGACTTCAGGACGTCAAAAGCAGCTCCTGTGGCGTTGAAGAAGCGCTCTGGGCTGGTCATCAGCTGAGAGATGAAAGCAAGGTTAAGAGTGCTGAGCTTAAACAGGAGATCCTTTCAAAACATCATGCTTGTGATGGCACCAACCTTAGCCATTCCTGCTCCAAGGACTCCTCCAATCAGCTGGCTGATGATGTAGGGCCCGACCATCATCAGCTCCATGCCCCCACACAGGTAGATGGCAATGGTGAAGGGAGGGTTAAAATGGGAGCCACTTAAAGAACAAAAAGTAAATACATGTTTAGGGCTGAATTGTTGCCAAACATTATGAAAACATCAGTGTAATCCTAAAGAAAGCTGCTTGTATTTGATTTTATTCTTAAAGAAAGCTTACCTGATGTTATCCATGACGGCCACCAGCACTACTACAGCCAGCCCATGCACCAGAGCAGGCTGCAGCCGTCCAGTTGACGGGACGTTCTCGATGACCGACACACAGCCAATGAAAACAAAGAACATGGTTCCCATGATTTCGGCCAGGCACGGCTGGTAAAGTCTCTCATATTTGCTCAGAGGCCTAGAGATCGGCTTCTTAACATTCTCCATCAGTGTAGAATCTGGATCTTCCATTTCCATTTTCTCTACACCCATGGTTTCTGCGCTGTCTTCACTTCAGCCTCTACATGCAGCACGTACACCGTATCCAGTTTGCTAACTAAGGTAAAGGAGCTGCAGGACGGCTTATATTTATAGCTGGCACCTGCAATCATTAGCACACTTGTGTGACTGATTGTAAAACTCCAAAGGTGGAAGGTAATCTCTGTCCAGCATGTCTTAAACCTAAGGTGTCTGGCGAAAGTCCAGCTCCATTAAACCATCTTTATGAGTAAATCCCTAAAATCGCTGTTTGCAGAAAGGATTATGAGATAAAAATGAAAGCAACCTGACCTTATTAAGAGGCATATTCCAGAGGTTAAACCGTTATTTATTCACAAAAATCACCCTCTAAGCGCTGTTTGGCTGGCCAGGTGGGGCTACAATAACTGAGAGAAGCCTGTGTAGATAAGAGCTGCACAGACTGCAGCAAATAGAATAGGTCACTCTCATTTACAACCCTGACAGAGCATTTCTGTGGCTTTAAATATGTTTCTGCTAATATGTGATTGGGGTGACTCTTTGGTTTAGTGATGCTATGGGAGAATCCAGTTCAAGTTATCAATTCCTGCTGTTTTCATGAATGTCAGATTGATTTGGGTCATTTAATGATTATTTTTGAAGAGCAGATTCATGATAAAACAACAATCTCATACTAAGACTTTTTTTATCTGCCCTTCTAATTGAAAAATAAGCACAATCACAAGGGCCTAAAACAGTACTGAAACAGTAAGAAACTCTTCAAAAGGGTGTTCTTGCATAGTGGGATGTAAACTGCACCCATGACAACCTCAGATGTGCCATTCATTGGTATCTACTGCCTCAAGTGGAAAAAGCTCCACTCAATGCAAGGGAGAGTAAATTTCAGCTTTTAAGATTTAGAAAATAAATGTAATCAGTAAAATAAATCCCTATGCAAACAAGTTTCCTTTTTTCTGTGTACATGATGCCAGTGAAAAATGTGTTAACCTTTTCTATCCTGTTCTAATTTTCAGTGTAACACTCCAGACCATGTTTTCCTCTTAGTAGTTAAAAAGAATTGCAATTTTCTAAAAAAAAAAAAATGAAAAAACTTGTGTTGATTGGTCGGTCATGCACTAGAGCTTCTGTCACCTTTGACCTCTTTTATACCCGCAGAATGCTTGTGGTTTTCCCCCAAACCAAGACCTACTTCTTATCATGATGGGTTTAAGGTTCTTAGCCCACATGCAGAACACAACGGAGGCTGGGTAAAAGTTTAACAGAGTTTATTGAATGTTTCACAAAAACACAAGATAATGTACTGGGTCAGGAACTGGTCCGGGCTGGTTCACTGAAGTCTGCAGAGATGATAGTTTGATTAGAAGGCAGGCTGATGAGTTATGAGTCTTTGATAATTCAGGTTTGTACCTTGACTGAGTCCAGGCTTCTCCTTGAGAGAGAGGGAACCGTTGGGTCCAGAGACTGTTTGTTCAGCAGAGTTCAAGAGCAGCTGCAGCGTCTTGCTTCTGACTTTGAACGGCAGACCTTGATCAGAGTTTCCAGCTCTTAACTAAGAGCAGCAGGGGAATCCACATAGGAATCTTCAGGTTAGGCTCTCTAGGGCAGGTTAAGCTCATCCAGAGCTTCAGGCTAGAGACAAGTTTCCTGTGAGGCAAAAACAGAGGAGAGTTAGAATCAGATCTCTCTCAAGAGACAACTAAGATTCTTCGGGTTCTAGGCTCAGGTTGCTAATCAAACTAAGGTCAACACTGTGGCGTCGAAGCAAGGTCTGGCAGCTGGTTATAAAGGGGAGGTCTCCTGATGAGTAGATGCGTCTCAGGTGTGCTGGAAGACTCCAGCTCCAGGAGACCCACGGCGCACTCTGCTGGAGGAAGGTGGTACAGCTCCTGATCCCAACAGTACCCCCCTCTCAACGACCGCCTCTTGGCGGTCCAGAAGATGTCGACGGGAGGGAGCTCTCATATTCCTCAATCAGGGATGGATCGAGGATATAAGAGCCAGGAACCCATGTGCGGTCCTCCGGACCGTAGCCCTCCCAATCGACGAGGTACTGCCAACCGCGACCTCGCCGACGGGAGTCCACGATCCGGCGGACGGTGAAGGCAGGATGTCCATCGATGTCCCGGGCGAGTGGAGGGAAGTCGGATGGAGGGCACAGGGGGCTAGAAACAACTGGCTTGATCTGGGAGACATGGAACGTGGGATGGATGCGGAGACTCGGAGGAAGGTGAAGACGTACAGCTGAGGGGTTGATGATCTGGGCAACCTTGTAAGGACCAATGAATCGGGGGGACAGTTTTCGAGACATGCCCTTGAGGGGAATGTCTCGCGTGGACAGCCATACCTCTTGGCCTATGGAGTAGTCAGGGGCCGGGCGCCTCTTGGAGTCAGCGAAGCGTTTTGTAGAGACAGATGAGCAGTTGAGGGTGGCGATGGTGTCCTTCCAGACCCTCTGACAACGACGGATATGTTGATGGACAGAACGGACCGAGATCTCTCTCTCATCTGCAGGGAAAAGAGGAGGCTGATAACCGAGGGATACCTGAAACGGGGATAGACCAGTGGCAGCTGACTTGAGTGAGTTGTAGGCGTATTCGATCCAGGTCAGGTACTGACTCCAGTCAGTGGGGTTGTTTGAGGTCAGGCAGCGGAGAGTGGATTCTAGCTGCTGATTCATCCTCTCCGTCTGCCCGTTTGACTGTGGATGATAACCAGAGGTGAGGGAGGACTTACAGTTTAATGCTGAACAGAAGGCTTTCCAGACTTGAGAAATGAACTGTGGACCGCGGTCAGAGAGAATTTCCTGTGGGATGCCATGGAGTCGGAAAACATGCTTCACCATAAGCTGCGCCGTCTGGAAAGCCGTGGGAAGTTTTCTGAGGGGAATTAAATGACAAGACTTGGAGAAACGGTCGACGATGGTTAAAATGGTGGACATACCTCTGGAAATCGGGAGACCAGTGACAAAATCTACGGCAACATGAGACCAGGGACGGGTAGGAACAGGTAGAGGATGCAGCAGGCAAGAAGGTGGTTGGTGAGAGGTTTTGTTTCTGGCACAGATGGGACATGCCAAGACATACTCTTTAACGTCCTTGTGTAAGGAAGGCCACCAGAAACGTCTTGTAATCAGGGCAATCATTCTGCTCACTCCAGGATGGGCGGAAAATTTTGCTGCATGCATCCACTGGATCAGGCGGGATCTGACAGAAGAAGGAACATAGGTTTTATTTGGGGGGCCGTTACCTGGGTCAGGTTCAGAGGCTAGGGCAGAGTTGATGAGATCGGTGATCTCCCAGGAAACCACTCCAACTGTACAGGAGGCAGGAAGAACAGGCTCGGGCGTCTCAGGTTGATCAGCAGAGTAAAGACGAGAGAGAGAATCGGGCTTGACGTTCTTGGAACCAGGTCTGTAAGAGATTATGAGATTGAATCGGGAGAAGAACAATGACCATCTAGAATGACGTGGGTTAGCTTGTTTGGCGGATTGGAGATAGGCCAGGTTCTTATGGTCAGTCCAGACCAAAACTGGATGTTCTGCCCCCTCGAGCCAGTGTCTCCACTCCTCCAAGGCGAGTTTGATGGCTAGAAGTTCTCGGTCTCCAACACCATAGTTTTGCTCCGCTGGTGAGAGTCTACGGGAAAAAAAGGCACAGGGGTGAATCTTTTGGTCTGAGTCGAATTGTTGAGACAGAACTGCTCCAACACCGGAGTCTGAGGCATCCACCTCTAAGATGAACTGTTTAGAGGGGTCTGGCTGGATCAGAATGGGAGCTCTAGAAAACAGGGTTTTTAACTTTCCAAAAGCCTTTTGAGCTTCAGGAGTCCATTGAAATGTCTTCTTTACCGAAGTCAGGGTTGTGAGAGGTAGAGCTGTTTGACTGTAATTCCTTATGAAGCGTCTGTAAAAGTTAGCAAAACCAAGGAATCTCTGAAGCTGTTTGCGGTTTTCAGGTGTCGGCCAGTCCAGAACTGCCCTTATCTTGTCTTCGGATGGCTTAACCTGCCCGCCCTCGAGCACAAACCCTAAGAAAGTGACAGATGGTTGGTGAAATTCACATTTTTATGCCTTCACAAAGAGCTTGTTTTCCAAAAGTCTCTGAAGGACCAGACGGACATGTTTCTTATGCTCAGATAGGTTCTTGGAGTAGATCAAAATGTCATCAATGTAAACAAACACGAATACATTCAAAAAATCTCTGAGGACATCATTGACTAGAGCTTTAAAACAGGCAGGGGCATTTGTGAGACCAAAAGGCATGACCAAATACTCAAATTGGCCTAAGGGGGTCTTAAAGGCAGTCTTCCATTTGTCTCCTTCTCTTATCCTAAGAAGGTGATAAGCATTTCTCAAATCGAGCTTGGTGAAGACTGTTGCCCCCTGAACAGGTTCAAATGCTAATGCCAGTAATGGTAGTGGGTACTTATTTTTGACAGTTATCTGGTTAAGGCCTCTGTAATCTATACAGGGTCGTAGGGAACCATCCTTTTTACCCACAAAAAAGAAACCAGCACCTAGAGGAGAAGAAGATGGACTCATTAATATATTTCTCCATGGTCTCACGTTCAGGCTTAGAGATGTTATAAAGTCTACTGCTGGGCAGGGGAGCTCCTGGTAATAATTCTATGGCACAGTCATATGGTCTGTGAGGTGGAAGAGACGTAGCACTGACCTTACTAAAGACTGGCGCCAGATCATGATACTCGGAAGGAACAGAAGTAAGGTCAGGAGAGTCCATCTCCCCCCTACCTCTAGGAAACTGAACAGCGGGAGCTGCAGAACGAAGGCATGTCTCATGACAGGAAGTGGACCAAGACTCTATGTGGCGTTCAGCCCAGTTGATATGGGGGTTGTGACGTTCCAACCACTCGAATCCCAGCACCAGAGGGGAGCATGCAGAGGGAAAAACAAAAAATGTTAATGTCTCACGATGATTTCCAGAGATCAAAAGCTCTAGAGGTTGTGTTTGATGAGTGACTTGATGGAGTTACTTTCCATCAATAGATACTCTGAGAGGCTTGGATAACGGGACTGTTTCAATCTGTAATTGTTGGACCAGGTTAGAATCAATTAGGTTACTCTCACATCCAGAGTCAATGAAAGCAGATAGGGTGAGATTCTGGTTAAAAAAAAAAAGTGTAGCAGGTAACATCAAATGAGGAGCTTTTTCAGTTTTCAAATGGCCCGTCAGACTCCTCATTTCCTCTGACGGGCCCTGGCTTTTGACTTAGCCGGGCATGAAGCAATGAAATGACCAGTCTCACCACAGTATAGACACAGATTGCCCCAGAATCGTCGTTGTCTTTCCTCAGGGGTTAGCCTTGTGTGTCCAATCTGCATGGGTTCAACCTCTGCTCCATCTGAATGAGAGACTTGGACAGGAACAGAAAGAGTCTGGTTTTTAGGCTTTGGCTTGGGAACGGGTTCTGTGGATCCAGAAAAAACAGAAGCATTATTTAATGCAGGGGCTGACACAGAAAAATTCAGACTTCTTAGTCTAGTGTTGCTTCTAGTTCGGAGCCGATTATCCAATCTGATGGTTAAACGAATTAAATCCTCCAAACTAGATGGTTCGTCGATCGTGGCTAGTTCATCCTTGATGTTATCATTTAAGGCCTTGAAATATGCACTCTTAAGTGCACATTCGTTCCACCCAGAAGCTGCGGCTTTGACCCGGAAGTCAATGGAAAACTCAGCCACTGTGGAATTTCCCTGTCTTAAATTCAGCAGGGCCCGAGAGTCAATAGTTTTATCAGAGTCGTGGTTAAAAACTTGGGAAAACTCTGAAATAAACTCGGAAAAAGTACAAGTGAAACTGGATTCAGAGGAGAACCTTGCCTCCGCCCATTCAAGAGCTCGTCCAGTGAGTTGAGAAAGAATGAATGATATTTTCTTTCTATCACTCGGAAAACTGCCAGGAGAATGTTCAAAAAGTAATCGACATTGGAACAAAAATCCCTTACAATCTTTTTGGTTACCTGAGAATCTTTCAGGCAGACTCATGAAATGACGTCACTGCCGGTGACCTTGGAGGCGGAAGTGAATCCGGAACTGGACGTGCCGCTGGCGTGGTGTTAGCATTACCCACGTAGCTGGCATATGTTTGAAGCATTTGTTTCTGGTGTTCAATTTTAGTGTGCAACTCACGGAGGGTATGCGCATGTCCAAGGATCTGAGCGTCCTGTTCGTCAAGCCTCCGACGGAGGTGATCTGCTGGGCTTTGTGTTTGGCCGCAGTGTTCTGTCATGATGGGTTTAAGGTTCTTAGCCCACATGCAGAACACAACGGAGGCTGGGTAAAAGTTTAACAGAGTTTATTGAATGTTTCACAAAAACACAAGATAATGTACTGGGTCAGGAACTGGTCCGGGCTGGTTCACTGAAGTCTGCAGAGATGATAGTTTGATTAGAAGGCAGGCTGATGAGTTATGAGTCTTTGATAATTCAGGTTTGTACCTTGACTGAGTCCAGGCTTCTCCTTGAGAGAGAGGGAACCGTTGGGTCCAGAGACTGTTTGTTCAGCAGAGTTCAAGAGCAGCTGCAGCGTCTTGCTTCTGACTTTGAACGGCAGACCTTGATCTGAGTTTCCAGCTCTTAACTAAGAGCAGCAGGGGAATCCACATAGGAATCTTCAGGTTAGGCTCTCTAGGGCAGGTTAAGCTCATCCAGAGCTTCAGGCTAGAGACAGGTTTCCTGTGAGGCAAAAACAGAGGAGAGTTAGAATCAGATCTCTCTCAAGAGACAACTAAGATTCTTCAGGTTCTAGGCTCAGGTTGCTAATCAAACTAAGGTCAACACTGTGGCGTCGAAGCAAGGTCTGGCAGCTGGTTATGAAGGGGAGGTCTCCTGATGAGTAGATGCGTCTCAGGTGTGCTGGAAGACTCCAGCTCCAGGGGACCCACGGCGCACTCTGCTGGAGGAAGGTGGTACAGCTCCAGATCCCAACACTTCTCCCACTGGCCTGACCTGAAACCAGGCTCTGCTCCCGTAAAGAAGCACGGCAAAAAGATCATGGAAGGCGTTGCTCAGGGGGTGTCCAAGATCGATGACCTGAGCAATGGCTTGCTGGACCTCAGCGAGCTTCATGCCTTCCAGCTGAGGGTGGACCCAGCCAACTTTAAGGTACCGCTCAGATAAAAGAATGAGATTGCTTTTTAAATTTGCTTTTATTGAGTTTCCACTTTTAAAACCTGCGCCTCAAATGTGTTTTTCCACAGATCCTGGCCCAATGCCTCCAGGTGGTCATCGCCACCATGTTCCCCAATGACTTCACCCCGGAAGCCCACGTCGCCTTTGATAAATTCCTTTCCAACTTGGCTCTGGCTCTCTCTTAGAAGTACCGCTGATCTGGGCTCAACCACACCGAAGCCATGCATAACTCAGTGAACGCAACGGAGCAATAAAAAGCATGCCACCCAACCTGTCTCCCGTCTTTATTTGTGATATCATCTTAAACTTAAACAAAACAAATGAAAACAAACCATAGAAAAGTTACATTTGGTTTTTATTACACATGAAAAAAATCAGCTCTTGCAAAAGTCAGCATGAAATAAGAAAATATAGCAAAAAAAAGATGAAACATTATATGACTGGAAAAGCATGCACTGATAATGTTTACGACTTCAATATCACCTCCATGACAGTAAAGAGAGTCCTCGTGGTTTCATAACAACTCGTAACTTATTGTCTCCCAGGATGAGCCTGAAACAGAGCGAAAGGACATCACAGTTTTATAGGTTTGGCCCATCATCTATGTTAATGTTTATTATAGGAGCAGATACCTGACCAAAGCCGCGGACGCCATTCCCCCTCCAATAGGCCCGACCCAGTAGACCCAGTGGTAGGTCCAGTAGTTGGTCATCACAGCTGGACCGAAAGCTCTTGCAGGATTTAAACAGGTTCCTGATATGTCAGCTCTGCATCCCCACCAAACAAAATCAGTTATTCGTATATAGCATTTACTCATTTTTTTATATTAAAAATTATGAAATAATGGAGTAAATTTCTCCATTGTGATATCAATCAAGTTTTGTTCTATAATTGGTAAATTCAAAGGAAAATACGACCATATTTATACCTCCTTGTTCAGAAAGAAAACCTCATTTGATGTATTTTGCAGAGCTTAAAACTGAATGATAATTTTGAAATTTGCATATGATTCAATTAAATTCCGGTTTTAAAATTCCCTTTAAGTTTGACAGAGGGAAGTGAACTTAACTTAAAATCCCCATGTTAGCTGCTCTCTGTTATATGGTGTAAATTACTGTTATATTTTAACTGACAGTGATTATGTAATGATGCCATAATGTGTTTTACAGACCTTTATGGTGCCAACAATTCAGCCTGGATGTAGAACAAGCTGCTTCCAACCCTGCCTGCACACGATTGGAAGTTTAACACGCTTATATGTTGTAGACAGAACAGCCACACAATTGGGGCTGCTGAGGTCAACAAGTGATGTTTTGTTTAATCTATGATATATCATCTTTCTAACACCTACTCTGACCTGCTTTTAACCATCTCAGACCCAGTTTGTTATTTCTACCAGATACAGAAAGGCTTTCTCAAAATGAAAGCTAAACAATAATAATAGCACATCTGATAACTTCTGCAGTGTTCTGGCTTGATTTCTCAGCCATTATTCTTACCCTTCTATGCCTTCTACGATCTCAGTTTTAATTATTTAATACAATTTCCTTGTGAAAAATCATTGCCACTGAGAGCTTTGGTAACAGCATCACCCACAAGCATGATGCTGCCCCCACCATGCTTTACACTTGGTTAAGTGTTCTTCAGTCCGAAAGAATAGTCTTTCCTTATACAAAGTTGAGCCAAAAAGCTTAATCTTTGCCTGAATTTATCCAGACGACTTTGGCCTCACTTTGTTGGAAGATGCACCAACAAAATGAACCTGTCAGACAAGATAAAATAGGTTAAAACCTCCAACAGCAATATTTGCTCCAATCTAACTAAACCAAAAACAGATAAGAAACAAGCTCTGTTACATCTATCAGTCTGAAAAGGCTTTTAAAGACATTTTTGGCTACTTGGGCTCAAGAGAAGCATCATCCAATCACATGGAGAACAAAGAACAGTGGAGAACCTTTACAGTGATCATTGTTTCTCTTTTTTTCCAGGTTGTTGTTTGGTGACCAGAGAACTCGAGTTGTGCTGAAGTAAAGGTCTCACCTAAAGGACCAGATCAAGAAGAACAAAGTTCTGACTGATTCGATGGCAACTCTGAACTAGTTGAAGGATCAAAGTAGAGCAGATTAAATATATCTGATAATAAAGTTTATATCCAGATTACAATGATTATTGATTAGTCCTATCAACATTTATTATTTGTATTGCCTTAAGATTTAAGCAGGTCAAACTTCCACAAAATAAATCGAAACCACATTGATGGAAGACTCTGGGTCCGAATCCTTTATGACAACAAACTAGCAGAGTAGTACAATGTGGGATTATTTATTACAACAGGAAGCAACAGTTAGAAGTCTGTGTGTTTATTTAGCACCAGTTACATCCTTTTTATAATAGATCCGGAAATTTTTTTCTAAATTACTTTAAACACTGACATAAAAGCAAACAGGCAGAAGGAAGCTTGCTCAAGAAACTCCAATGTATTTGGAGGATAACCATCAGCAGATACCTGATGAAGCTGACGGTGAGTAGTGCACCACAGGTCGGTCCAACCCAGTAGACCCAGTGATTATTCCAGTGGTTGGCAGCTACTGCAGGACCAAAAGCTCGAGCAGGATTCATACATGCTCCAGAAACAGATCCTCTGAAACACAACGGCAGCGAAGATTGATTTCTGGCTGTTCAGGGCCAATAAAATCAGAAAGCAGACGGGAGGAAGTTAAAGCAGAGATAAGAGCGATGCACTAAGAAGGATGGGGGTTGGACTCCATCTATGAGAGGAGTCTAATATTTGGAGAGGTGAGCAACCAGCTCACACATTCTCATGGTAAAAGAAGGCATTTGATTTGAATAAATGAGATGCTAGTAAAGAACTGAGATGTAATTAACTCTTAGTTATGGTAGGAAAAAGGAAAATTACTTAAAAGTAAAGTGGAGGATGTTCTTTTTCCGGGTGGATTATCAAAATTACTGGTCCTCCTAATTGTCAATCATTCTGGTGATATGTTTACATAAGGTGCTCATCCCCATTTTCACTTTCCAGTAGTGACTCTCACATAGTGGAAAAATTGCAAATCTTCTTTTGGAAAGCAAACTTGTTTGAGCGATGCAAAGAGCAGCTTTTAAACATAGCGCGCATGAGCAGATATGGGCTATTGCATGCTCTCACACATGTTTAATAGGCTTTCCCTCTTGGGAGCGGGTATAGGGTTGTGCATGTGCAATTTTTTGTAAAAGCAGTGAGGATGGGTCTTAAAATATTCACGAAAATCCTCCACTATACCTTTAATATTGACTTTCAAGCATTGACAACAGGGGTTTAACATATAGTTAGAGGTGCTTAGATACTTGGTTGAAACTCAGTGATTCCCAAAATACTAATCATGTAACCTTCGTTGAAAATTTAAACAGCTTTTTAAGTATCGTTTATGAAAATTGCCTTAAATAAAAAAATTAAAAAATATGTTTTTCTGTGACTCCATCTTATAGGGTATGGTTCTGAAATCAAAGCTGTATCTTGTTTGAAATATGCACCCAGCTAGAACACAGGCCGTGACAGTGAGGCCGATGCAGAACGGTGCCCACGGCGTTCGGCTTTTTCTGTTGACGGTTCCCATGCACACCACGATGGTGAGGACCAGGGTCATCATCACTTCTGCTAGTGCTTTTCCCAACATCTGCGGTGGTTGCGTTGAAGCTCCTCCGAGGGATGCCACGTACATGTCAGAGGGGTACATCACCTGAACGTAGAACAGAAAAGGATTGGTTCTGCAGGATTATTTTAAATCTTTTGAATGTCACCCAGTGTCGTTTAACTTGTTTAAAAAAAAAAAAGGTAAAAATTGAAAACAAAAACACATGTAAAAGCTTTCTTTATATTACTAAATAAATCACAAAAGAATCAAAAATTAATAAATAAATGCATCAAAATGTTTGATTAATCCAATTATTTCTAAATGGATATTTAACCTGGATATAATTATCAATTTACTTGGATTTAAATGTACTAGCTATCGATACCAAAACTGGTTCCAAACCACCAAAATTTAACAAATATTTTGGCAATATGTAATACAAATACATCATATTGCTAAATGTGGCCCTGCTGGTTCTTTAAACATTTCCAGTTAAATTAAGATTAAATTAGGGATAATAGATTATTTGTTTAATAATCAGGGTGTGATTGAACCTTTAAAAAAAAAAGTCTGCAACTTCTTGTTTCCGTTTGAAGAAGCTTCTATAACTGGGTCTTACTTTAGTGATGGTAGGACCGATCATGGCTCCAGCCATCTGTGCCAGGATATAGGGCAGCAGCAGCAGCAGCTCCATCCCTCCACACAGGTAGATGCTCAGAGACAACATGCTAGATGTCGGTGGCGGCATTGAAAATAGAGTTGAGTGATGGAAAAAAAAATTCTGGCTGGTTTCAGAGCAGTCCTGACTTTGTTCTGATAGAGAATCTGAGGAGGGAGCCAAATATTAGGGTGATGGTAAAGAGGCCTTCCAGCCTTAGATATTTGGAGCTGATCATTAAAAAAATAATTAATCAGAACACCACAGACCTGTGTCATGGTTTTGGTTCTGTTGTTCTTTACTTTGCTCCTTGTTTTCTAGTTTTATTGGTTTAATTCCAGTTTTGTTGTAATTTCTAGATTTATTTTAGTTCTCATGTTTTTTCGTTGTCCTCTGTAGCCCTCTTGTGTGTGTGTGTTCCTTTCCCCTTGGCTCCCTCGTTGTCTCCTTTTACACCTGCTCCTTGTCAGCTCGTTAGCCCTCCCTTTGTCTCTGTCAGCTATACAGGTGCTGGTCATAAAATTAGAATATCATGAAAAAGTTGATTGATTTCAGTAATTCCATTTAAAAAGTGAAACTTGTATATTATATTCATACATTACATACAAACTCATATATTTCAGATGTTTATTTTGTTTAATTTGGATGATTACAAATGACAACAAATGAAAATCTCAAATTCATCATATCAGAAAATTAGAATATTGTGAAAAGGTTCAAAATTGATGGCCCCTGGTGCCACACTCTAATCAGCTAATTAACTCAAACCACCTGCAAAAGCCTTTAAATGGTCTTTCAGTCTAGTTCTATAGGCTACACAATCATGGGGAAGACTGCTGACTTGACAGTTGTCCAAAAGACGACCATCGACACCTTGCACAAGGAGGGCAAGACACAAAAGGTCATCGCTAAAGAGGCTGGCTGTTCACAGAGCTCAGTGTCCAAGCACATTAATAGAGAGGCAAAGGGAAGGAAAAGATGTGGTCGAAAAAAGTGTACAAGCAAGAGAGATAACCGCACCCTGGAGAGGATTGAGAAACAAAACCCATTCAAAAATGTGGGGGAGATTCACAAAGAGTGGACTGCAGCTGGAGTGAGTGCTTCAAGAACCACCACACACAGACGTATGAAAGACATGGGTTTCTGCTGTCGCATTCCTTGTGTCAAGCCACTCTTGAACCACAGACAGCGTCAGAAGCGTCTTGCCTGGGCTAAAGAGAAACAGGACTGGACTGCTGGTGAGTGGTCCAAAGTCATGTTCTCTGATGAAAGTAAATTTTGCATTTCCTTTGGAAATCAAGGTCCCAGAGTCTGGAGGAAAAGAAGAGAGGCACTTCATCCACGTTGCTTGAAGTCCAGTGTAAAGTTTCCACAGTCAGTGATGGTTTGGGGTGCCATGTCATCTGCTGGTGTTGGTCCATTGTGTTTTCTGAGGTCCAGGGTCAACGCAGCCACATACCAGGAAGTTTTAGAGCACTTCATGCTTCCTGCAGCTGACCAACTTTTTGGAGATGCAGATTTCATTTTCCAACAGGACTTGGCACCTGCACACAGTGCCAAAGCTACCAGTACCTGGTTGAAGGACCATGGTATCCCTGTTCTTAATTGGCCAGCAAACTCTCCTGACCTTAACCCCATAGAAAATCTATGGGGTATTGTGAAGAAGAAGATGCAATACACCAGACCCAACAATTCAGAAGAGCTAAAAGCCACTATTAGAGCAACCTGGGCTATCATAACACCTGAGCAGTGCCACAGACTGATCGACTCCATGCCACGCCGCATTGCTGCAGTAATACAGGCCAAAGGAGGCCCAACTAAATACTGAGTGCTGTACATGCTCATACTTTTCATGTTCATACTTTTCAGTTGGCCAACATTTCTATAAATCCTTTGTTTTTATTGGTCTTCAGTAATATTCTAATTTTCTGATATGATGAATTTGAGATTTTCATTTGTTATTTGTAATCATCAAAATTAAACAAAATAAACATCTGAAATATATGAGTTTGTATGTAATGTATGAATATAATATACAAGTTTCACTTTTTAAATGGAATTACTGAAATCAATCAACTTTTTCATGATATTCTAATTTTATGACCAGCACCTGTATATGCCCTCCCTCTGCTCCCACTCTTTGTTGGTTCCTTGTCTTTGCTGTCCTCCCATGCTGTTGTCCACCTACCTCGTCTCTCCCTGGCTCCTCATGTTTGGTTTCCCCAGATGTCTCCATAGTTCTGGTTTGCTTTTGATTATTAGTTGGATTTTTGCATTCCTGCCTTTGTTTACTGTTTTTGCCCCATTAAACTGCTAGAAATCTCCTCAGCCTCTCTGCCTCTGCATTTGGGTCCTCCAAACCTCAACCAAACCCTGACAACCTGGAGAAGCTCCTTAAAAGATGAGTTCCTCTGTATCTTTAATAGATCTTTTTCAGAAAGAGGTGTCATTTGACATTTAATTCTTTTAAGATGTAAAGTAAAAAAAATAAAAAATAAACAGATATTCCATCATCGTTCCAAAATTCTCCATATCCATTGTTCTATCTCCTGTCACCCTCTGTTTATTGACCATAAATTTGCATCCACGTTCAATAAATAAAATGTTCTGATGAGGCTAATTTGTTTTAAGAAAACCGCCTTTTTGCAGGTATTAAAATTACTTTTCATTAACTTAATCTTGTGATGTAATATTCTAATCCATCATTCATGCATTTGAATTAAAGCAGAACATTCTAATTAACAGAAATAAAGATTTCGTTTGCCAGATAATAAATGTAAATATGATCTTACTTGGTAAATGAAGTAACTGAAAATAATGAATATTTTTCTTTATGGAAGGCCTGTATATCTGTAAGCGGTAATTATTCTAGAGATGCCATTTTGTTAAAAATGTAGAGTAACGGATTATCTTTAATTTTTTTATATCCTTTAATGAGGTCTAATTGGATGCTAAATTATTAAAGTAAATCCATTTCTGCCAGGGGTATGAATAATTGTGCTTTCACTCTAGTAGCAGTGCTGCAGTCAATGAGAAAATGTCTCAAAATAATTTATTTTTCAGGAGAAAAAGTCTTCATTTATTGTTTTTTTTTATTGCTTTTCTTTGCATCTGATCTACTGAACCACAGACAGATGAGGAGGAAAACCAACATGGTGGATCCTTATAAACACAACAAATCAAATTCAGATGACAGTCTGAGTTTGCAGACTCTCTGCATGGTACTTCATGTTTTTTTTTAAGCTAGATGATCTCTAAAGATCCTCTGAGTCCAAAAACAGAATTGTGCATTTATGATCAGAGTGAATCAATCACAGATAGACTGTTTAATATTTCTATGACCTGCTGTCCTAATAGGCCGACACCCTGGGAAACAAGAGGTTCTTCACATCTCTCAGCCTTTCATATACAACAGATAATCAGAATCTAGGAAGACATTATTTAACATTAAATATTTTATTTTTTTTTAGCTGCATCTGAGTCCAGTGTTCTGGTAACGGATGGACCTCACAGTTCAGACGGTGTTTACAGCTCAAACTGTTTTTAATGTGAACTTTGCTTATGTCAGGAGTTCTGGCATCTCAACAGATCCCAGGTGAGAAGCAGAGGGAGAATAAATGGCTTCCTTTTTCCCTGCTGCCTCCTCGCTCGGATCATCTCCTTCTGTTGACTTTGGCCAACCAGAGCGCCTCAGAACGCCAGCTGGGACAAGCCTGAGGAAACAGAACCCGACCCGTCCTGGTTACTGAGGGCACTGGACAATTAAACTGGGAGGATGTATGACGGATTTAACACATATGAGTAAACTAAAGTAAATACTTCTGGGCTAAAAGGCGTCACGGGTCTTCCCAGAATGTTCTGGAAACGGCCCGAATGCCAATCCCAGTACACATGCAAACGTGCTGCATGGTTTACCCAAGTTGAGTTTGTCCTTGGTGGCCCAGCAGATGCAGTAGTGCTGGAGAAGCTGCTGCAGCAGCTCCCGCTCGTCCAGGAACTCCAACTGCTCGATTCTGCAAAAACATAAAATCCTCAACTGTTAACATATTTGGGGGAGAAGATAAAAGAATAAGAACACATGGAAAGCAGGACAGATAAGCAAAGGAACAGTTCAATGAGAGAAAACCCATTTATAAAGTAAAACTGCACAGAAATAGAAATCCTTGTTGACTTAGCTGGTGAGGACGTTTAAAAAGCCCTAAATGAATGCATGTTGTACTGCAGAAAGTCTAAGAAAAATCTGCATTAATTTAATTCATTCATGGAAAAAAAGAAATCCCACATTAAAGAATGACTGTCCGGTATACATGCAGTCTATGTTTGATACACATCTAAAAGGTTCTGCAGCAGATTTCCAGCAGTTTGATTCAGCATTTAAGGAGCTTCACAAGCAGCTGAGACTTGAGCCACAAAAACCAATCAGACATAATAATGTTCCGGATGCTCAGGTCGGACGAAAGCAGCTCTGCAGGAAAACATCAGCTGTAGGAGTAGGTGGTGAAGTTCTCTCCAAACTGAAAACCTTTCCTGAACACACCGGTTGCATACGACTTTTTAATCTCTGATTCGATTTTTTACCATTTCATGCCGACTGCGTACAGAGAGGCTATGACTACAGGCATGGTGGGCAGACCTGCACAGATTTCTTTCACTTCTTTCTCTGTGCTATACACAAATTAAAACAATTACCCACATTTGAATTGGACAGATTATGAAAAGTAATTTAATTTAAAAAAAAACACTCCACTGAACAAGTCTGTGCAGCATCTCAAACCAAAATGTTTATATGCCTGTAGTAAAAACATGAGATCTATGTCTAAAGAAACGAAAAACAGCAATAAATGCTGTGGGACGGTCTTTATGCTGGCTGAGGCAGAGCGGCGATTCTCAGAGAGATCTGGGAAGTTTATCAAAGTTTTTCCTTTCTTTTTTCATAAAGTGGTGAAAAGGATACAACAGTTTTCTTCTGAGGAAAATAAAAAAAAGAGGATCACTACTTTATTATATCCCTTTTTCTTTTCCTGAAGTTTTTTTTTCCCCGAGGAGATTGGTAAAATGCGCATTCTGTCCCACGTTGTTTTAGCGAGGCTCAAAGAGAATCATAACTTCATCCGCTTTCTGCCCTTCTGAACTCCTATCATGGGTAAAGTTTTCTTTTTTTTTTATGTTTGATTGTTTTTGCATGAGTCTGTCCAGCTTGCAGACTCATGCAAGACCTCAAACCTGTTTTCTCTTGTGATTAACAGATTTTATTTAGTATTTTCCCCAAAGCAGATGTGTTTTACTTTATAATCATGTCTCTCTTCCTCTCAGACCCACGAAATTGCCACTAAATTGCTGTGTAGTCTGACTAAAATAGACCTGGGGTCTACCTAAGTCAGACCTATGCAACCCCCCTTGCGTAAAATCATGTTGGGTGTGATCATCCCGACAGACTTTCAATGAGCGCTGACGCGACAACCTCGTCCTGTTCTGGCCTTTAGAGGATATGGTTTAGTTTAGCTTTTTTTATTTGTTTCATTCAGAAAAAACATAAAATAACTTATGAATGTAACACCTAAAACTGTGAATGAAAAGGAGCAAAAAGTAAAACTCAAACTATATGCTCCATTTATATAAAAAGTAAAGAAAAAAAACTACTTCAATTTCTTCGATCATTGTACGAGATCAGACTTTTTACAGCGAACTTTGCTGATGGCCAGCTTAATATGGAAGAGAATCAAAGATGAAGCAGCTGCATTTTTCTTTTTGCTGCCCAAAGCCTTTGACATAGAATGTAGCATTTATTTCTAATTATCTAAAAGCTCCCAGCGTCTTGAAGTAGGAAAACCAGCCAACAGCATCAATTGGTCACATATGAGCGTTTGGTTTCACATCAGACCCAAAAGGCTCCATCTTTGGAGCAAACGGATGCTGTCTTTGCGGTTCAGCGTTGACTACCTTGCCACGTCATCCTGAGGAAGAATACCGTAAACCGTCATCATATCCAGAGCATTGGCCTGCTCCCAGCCTGCTGCCAGGAAACGCTCTTTCTGCAAACACCAAAGGAGGAGATCGTTCAGAATAGATTTTCACATTACTTCGTTATTTAACAGTTTCGACTGGAGACGTACTGAGAGTTAAAAGTTACCTGAGAATCCAGAGACTGACAGGCCTCGACTCCAGCCAATGAGCATTGGCGCCTCTGCAGGTTCTCCACCATCACCTGACCGAATCGGTCACTCATGTTCACCTGGACGTACAGACAGATGGACATGAGTTCCAGCACAGTTCAGAAAGAGCTGCTAAGATCTGATGCCTCCTGAGAATATTATTCACACCTTTTCAACAGAAAGTGCTGGAAGAAAGTATTCAGCCCCCATACAGAATTTTTTTTAATATAAAACATAAGCTAAGTGTTTTTAAACGTATGTACATACAAAAATTCCCAACCATCTTTGGCTCAAAGTTCAGTGTTTTACATGTGGTCGATTAGCGCCCCCTGGTGGGAGTATCATGATCGATTACTCTGGGATTAGATTAGGTTTATTAAGACTGACATGAGAGGAGACAACATACAAACATGAGACCTGAATTATTTCAGAGGATGATTTAAAGACATTCCGTGTTTAGTAGATTTTCTCTTGTTTGCTAAATCTGTTTATAATGCCTCAGCTGATATCAGCACAGCCGACCTGAGAGACAAAGTTGAGAAAGATTTCTATTCAGGCTACCTCCTGTCAAACCAGCAAATGATTGTGTTCAGGTTAGAGATGGTACAGCTCTTTATTTAGTTGGTTTGACTGGAAAACCTTGCAGATGAGGTGAGTTTGAGCATTCAGCAGGCTGAGGTCATTCAAGTTTCACCAGTGCAGACAAAGGCACTGCCCAGTAAAAAAAGCAGTTTGCGTTTGCTCAGGTTACCTTTGTTTCATGAGCTGAAAGAATTATTTGTGACAGAAAGAAAAGGAAAATAGTCCATTCTATTATTTTACCTGTTCGTAGTTTATAAACATGGCTGTGTGAAATGTTTCTGCTGCCCAGTGAACAAGGTTGCAGGACTGCGATGGATTCATGTAAACCAGAACACACTCTGCTAAGAACAACGTAGGTAACCTGAAGGACAGAAAAACACAAAAACAAAACACTTTATTTCACCAGTAAAGCTTTCAAATACTGATTCAGCTTTTCTATATTGATCCAATTATAAGTCCCCAACAAATCCATTCCGTGTAATATTAACTCCCTTTTAAAGGAGCAGATTTAGCTGCACTTTAGTTAATGTATGACTCAGCACAGTGGGTGTGGCGTCGTCTCCAATCAGCCTGCAGATGGCTACTGACCTTCCAGCCAGTCACCGACTCCTTACAGTCAGAGATAAGCTGCAGTTCCTGGTTCTCCACAAATATTCTGAGAAAACCGGCTTACATGCAGGCAGCAGCAGGAGCTTGTTTTCATTAAACAATATTAATCTCAGGCTCATTTAAAAAAATAAACATGCTAAAGATTTCATTCACTCACTCTGTGTTGAGCTGGAACTTCTTCAGTTTGTCGTCCAAGTTTGAGATGTCTCTGAGGTCGGCCCCAATGATGCAGTAACGATCCGAGTCGAGGGCGTGGGGCTCTGAAGCATAAGGGACTTTAAGTGCAGAACATACAGCATGCAAACCCATGGAATTGATCATAAAGATAATAATTTGCACCTAGTAGTAATGAGTCAGCGGAGTGCATATCAATGATGGGTTTGGACAGGGGCGGCTTTGTCCTGCTCAAAGAACGAAAACAGAAAGATGAGCTTTAACTGACAGGTAAATGCAAACATAAACTAAACACTTTCAGTTCATTTCCAAATCCAAAATAGACTTCTCTGACTTCTCAACTAGAACACATTCAGTTTCAATGCTTAGTGATTCTAATTTCCAAGATATAACTCTGCTTCTTTTGCTTTTCCTAGAAATAGATCCAACTTTCATGAGCATTTTTCATGTATTCCTGGCTCAGAGCAAAGAAAAGGAGACATCTGATTGCAAAGGTGCGTTACCGATTTCTGTTCATCTCAGTGACCTTTGACTTTCTAAGTAGGAATATCAGCTGGTTGGATTTTCCCCATCTGTAACACAACCATCTTTAAGGCTAATTCTAGAAATTCAGATTTGTCTTCACAAGACTTTTTTTTTTTGTTTTGTGTAAACACCTTTTAGAACACCTTTTAAGGGGAGTGGCAGCCTAGAGGTTATGGCATAGAGCTTGGAATCTTGAGTTTGTGATTTTGAAACCCACTCCCACAGACTTTTACTCTGGGTCTCTGAGTTAGACCCTTAACCCCACACTGCTCCCTGGGCGCCCCACGATCTTACTGCTCCCCAAGTGGAAAGCTCAAATACAGAGGTAAAGTTCTCCAATGTGAGATCAATAAAGTTTAATTAATATAACCCCAGTAAACCCATGTGGAAGGCGAGGTAAGAAATAAAGGCTGAAAAGCAAAACGATATGGAAGAGCAGCAGCCTTACTTTATATAGTGGATCTTCCTGGCCACCACAGTTGGAAAGTCCACTTCAAAGAACTTCTTCGGTAACAAGTTTTGCTCCTGTTGCACACAGAGACGCTTTGGTATTTCTGGATTATTATTTTGTTAAAAACAGAACAGACAGGAAGAGGTTCTCACCTTTAGTCTCCAAAAGGTGGTGTCCAGGCCGGCACCCAGGTTGATTACTTGACATTGACATTCTGTTTTCCTTAGAAATGCATCAAGGAGAAGGTTGACCCCTTTAACCCGAGCGTAGTAACCTGTCAAAGAAACAATGTTGTTGTGCTCATTATATTTACAGATAAACATGCGTCTGTAATGTATGATGGTTGGGCTGTGCTTAAAAGAGCTAACAGAGGGAAGATTTGAAGAATAGTCATCACTTGCCTCTGTTGATTTCAGGAGCCTTCCGCTCTCCTACATTCCTGACAAAGTACTGAAGACAGGAGTCCTTCCAGTAGCCTTTACTGGTAGCAAACCTGAGAACAGATCACCAATGAAAATGTTAAACCTCCTGCCTTTCAATGAACTTGTTTGAAACATTATTTAATAAGTTTAAGAAAAAAAATGTGAGGAATTTCCAAAAGGTTTCTTTAAAACTGTTTTTCAGACTAGCAGGATGTTACTAGGCTGATAAGCAGGGAGAAGCATTTCCAAGCAACCCAATGTTGTTATGGCTGTGTAATTACCCTGAAGCCTTAAGTCAATCTTTTTGGGAAGATAGATGGAGCTAAATCCAGAACAAACCTGAAAGAAAACCTGTTAGAGGCTATAAAGGACCTGAGACTGGGTTAGAGGTTCACTTTCCTGCAGGACAACTACCCTGAACATACAGCCAGAGACACAAGGGTGGTCTGGATCAAAAATAGAATTATATATATTATATAAATATCCTGTGAGAACGACCTAGTCAAAGTCCAGGTCTCAAATCATGTATCATTTTCTTTCTTCTTCAAAGTGATGGGTCCAGAAACGTCAGTTCATGCGTCGAGCCCATAGATGAAAACACTGTATCGGTAAGTGTGTTGTTTCAATAAAGTCATGTAACTGATACAGGGATAGTTTCTAACTGACTGACTCACTAAACTGTGTTTAAACATGTATCTGTCAACATAATGCATCTCTTAAAAAATACGTCTAATCTTTTGCAGTTTATCATTAAAATTATAAAGAATTTTTGAGCAGCCTAAAAGTAACAGGAACATTTCAGCCGATTCTAATTTTCTCATCGTGTCTTACTTTTCCTCTGAGTTATCACTCAACTAATATGAATTAAAGTTAATTTACTGTTGTTACTGTACTTATTGTTTTCACCATCATTTTCAAGTTATATCTTTACATTATTTATTGGCTGCTTCTAAAAATATCAAAGATATTTTCAACTTAAACATAGATATGACACTATACAATATAACCTAGAATAACTTCAACTATATGAGTGTGTTAGGTCATCAAATCAATTCAGCTTAGTCAAATAAACTGCCTGTAGTGCCTATAAAAGTCCAGCAGGTGTCAGTATTCTGCGAGACAGTATCAATACAGTTTGGCAATGGGTCGAAACGCTTCAACATGCCTCATTATCACTACTTCTTCACAGTTACGTTGCAATTTGTGTTGGTCTGTCGCATAAATCACAATAAATCATTACAATAAATTATTTCAAGAGTTTTGGTGTAACATGAAAAAAGGTGGAAGAGTTAGAGAGAATGCTGGATATAATTTAGGCTGTGGTCTGATCCAAGCAGCTTTGTCACTTTACCTTTTACAGATGGTTGCATCGTCACAGGTCGCCCTGACCGCTTCATCCGCAGTGTCCGTATCTGTGAAGGGCTGCCGAGCTGCCATCAGTGATCCTAGGGCCACCGTTATGGAGCTAGCATAGGATCCTTCTATTTAGCTACCACACGCTAACAGGCTAGCTAGCTTACAGGTGTAGCAAAACAGACTAAAATTAAGCGGTTGAATCCGGAACGCAGTCCTGCGGCATGAGTTCCACTGAAAAGGAAAAAAAAAATGCCAGTTAAAACGAAAGAAAAGCAAAAGGGAGGAAATACCAATTTCAAGCGTTGATTTAGAAAAACTAGGAACAAATTACATAGAGAAAGCGCAGCCCGGAAACACAACAAGCGCACTTCCGGTTAGCGTGTTATTTCAAAATAATAGCTTAAAAATATATATCTTTGGCAAACTCACTGTATTTGTTTCCTTTTTACAAAATATCAGGCTACAATATTTGTTTATTTATTTGTTTATTTATTTATTTATGTACGTGTTTGTTTATTTATCATAACTAATATGACAATGAAATCGAGCAGTGTTTTTTTTATTTGTATGTCAACTTTAAACCTAAAAATAAACATATTGATAAACGAGTTACAAATTAGGTACAGTTCATAAAGTGGAATACCAATGAATTATAGGAAGAATGTTAATATACTTTGCTTACACTAAACTAAACATACACTAAAGTTGGAAAATGATGATTCCATTATCAGGAGAGAAAATTATAAAATAAAGATAATCGGAAATGATGCCACCTCCCTTCATAGTTTCCCTATTTTTGTCTCTATGGAGGATTTCTTCATCCACCAATATCAAAAATATGGCCCAGATAAGCTGAAGAAAACGAGTAAGAGTAAAATATTAATATATATAAATGACAAAATAGAAAAAGAGATCAAACAATCACATGAGGAATAGTAAATGATAAAACCGGTGGGTAATAGTTAAGGTTTCTAACTTCTAATTTTGTACTTTTAAACCATAGCATTAATAATCAGTGATAAAAAAAAGATTAATAAGTTATCTTAACACAAAGAATAAGGCCAATAGTTAAAAAATGTTGATAATATATATGTCTGATATAATTTAAAAAACATTCTTTTTCACTTTCAATCAGCAGAAATGAAAAAAGTCTTGCTGAAAAATTCTGGATCATTACTGGACAACTAAGTGTATTTTTACATTTTGGCCAGTGGGTGGCAATGTTTTACAAGTGGCAATTGTAAAAATGCTGAACCAAACTCATGCATGGGATTGCTTCAAAAGAGGCTTGCATATGGATATCTTATTAATGGTTTCTAAACTCAGATTCTAAATAAATAAATCAAGTTATTTTCTGGATTATGGATGATATCTCAGTTCCATGGCCTAGAGGGCACCAGCTAAAGTAATCTTTTATTTTCATTATGATTCCATAAGCTATTCAGCATTCATTAAGAAATTATGTTTTCAAAAAGATGTGAATGGATTTTAATAAAAAAAAAACAACAACAGCATGTTACCCTTTTTTTCCTGACCATTGACCTGTAGAAGCCTATGATCCAATGATTCTTTCAGCAGATCTGATTGTTCATTGTAATTAGTATTTGTCTTGTTTTGTTAATGGGCCAACCCACAATGATCAAAAGAAGCTTGATGGATACATGACTGACTGAATAATTTAAAAGATGTCCAGTTGCTCCCATTGGTCTGTAAAGAGTGTGGAAAACACATCAGATCCATAACAGGCTGGCTTTGAGGAACCAGAAGATCTTTAAAGTGCTCATAGATTCCAGGAATATGATATAAAACCAAAGTTAAACATTTATTGTTTTTGAACATCATTATTCGACTAATTCAATATAAAAGGTCCAATTAAAAAATGCTTTTCAATTTGAATTTCAAATTGTATGATGTAAACGTTAAATTCAAAATGGGTGTTTTTCTTTTGCAGTGACTCTCTTGGTCGGGAGTCACCAACCTTTTTAAGGGCGAGGTTATGGGTACTGATTCATAGGAAGGGCTACCAAGACTGACCTATGAACCGGAGGGATCAGCATTTACCTTAACTGCACACATAATAAACATATTTTTATTGGGTGGCAGGGGAGGAAGGAAATAAAGAATAAAGGAATGAAGGAGGGAATGAAGAAAGAAAAGAAAGAAGGAAGAAAGGAGGGAATGAAGGAAGTAAAGAAGACAGGAATTAAGGAGGGAATGAAGAAAGAAAAGGAAGAAGGAAGGAGGGAGGGGTAGGGAATGAAGGAAGTAAAGAAGAAAGGAATGAAGAAGGAAATGAAAAAAGAAAAGGAGCAAGACAGAAAGAAGGGAGGGAGGGAGGTTATGAAGGAAGTAAAGAAGAAAGGAATGAAGGAGGGAATGAAGAAAAAAAGGGAGAAGGGAGGAAGGAGGGAGGGAGGAAAGGAAGTAAACAAGAAAGGAATGAAGGATGGAATGAGGGAGGGAATGAAGAAAGAAGGAAAGAAGGAAGGAAGGAAGGAAGGAAGGAAGGAAGGAAGGAAGGAAGGAAGGAAGGAAGGAAGGAAGGAAGGAAGGAAGGAAGGAAGGAAGGAAGGATCAGCATTCACCTCAACTTCCTACATAATAATCATATTTTTATTGTTTCTTTTAACTCCTAATTTTTTATGATGTGATTTTCAAATCTCTATAAATGCTTAAATGCTCTATCTGACTAAAATAATGGATTGCTATATAAAGCATTTCATAATGCTCTGATTAAAAAAGGGCAACAGAATAAAATACAAATGTTAACCTTAGCCCACTGGGGCTCTGCTATTGGCAGAGGATGCTGTGGGCCCCCCATGAGGCCCCCTTAGGGCCCCTTGGTGCACCACTTGGTGAACCCCTGCTCTAGGTCCTCCATGGAGCCAAAAGGTGTGCTAAAGTGCCCACCACAGTGGAGAGGACTGCCTATATCTGCCCTTCAATAACTCTGAGTCCTCCATAAACCTCAGGGTCCAAATCACAAGGACCTCCCGACCCCCACTGTGGGACCCCCTAATCTAAACCCTAGAACCTGGACCTGGCTTATAATTATAAACTTTAAACTGATTAGTGACTTTGGAAGTTTTGCTTGGCTTAACCTTTGCTGCGGTGGTATTTATTGTAAAAGGTGTGTCATCAGCTGGAAACTGAAACGTTTCTTTTTTCCCTGAGCTTTTAGTCAGAGGGAGGATTGGCTGCTTTCTTGGCTGGCAGATGCTGAGGAGGAGAACCAGCTCTACTTCCTGCAGAGGGCTGGCAGAGACAGAGGAGGCAGAGAGAGAGACAGAGACAGAGGAGGCAGAGAGAGACAGAGGAGAGCTGCTGCTGCTGCTGCTGGAAGAACACCCCCCTCCTCCTCTTCCCCCCCCAGTGGCGCTAGCTCAACGGCTAACGGTCAGGAGAGCAGCCATGAAAAGCCGCTGGAGCCAGTGAAAGTTCGGCGCCTCTTAATTCGGGACTTTATTGTACGTAGAAAAATATAAAACAAAAGAGGTTCTGTTATCATGCCGTAGCTCGAAGTGGGAAATTCTTTTTTTTAATATATATGTTTTTTATTTTTTTCTGTAAAGAACAGGGCTAGCCCAGGTGCTACTACTAGCAAGCTAAGGACTCTTTCTAATTGGCTTGTGGCTCCAATGGCTCTGGCTTATCTTCCTCTGTCATAGCGGCGGCCTGTAGCGGAGGGAAAAGGCTCTGGACCTTCATGACCGACCGCAGCCTGCTGCTCAAGCGCTACTTGGACACTCGGAGGGCTGAGGAGCGAAAATGAAGAAGCAGTTCAATCGGATGAAGCAGCTCGCTAATCAAACGGTTGGCAGGCAAGTAGTGAAGTTTTCCATTGTCTGGAGCTTTAACCTCATCTTAGTAGTAAAAAAACAACATTTATCTCCTTTTTTATTTATAGCACTTCACATAACTCAGAATAAACTGCGTTCACGGCTGTAGTCCTTTTAATCAGGGGCGGTCACATGAGTTTTAATATAAGAAATGCAATTAAATAGGGCATCACTGTATCTTTTTCTTATTTTTTTTATTTCTGTTGGCATGTATACTGATAATGTTTGTCACTATACTAAGATTTTCCACTTAGATGAAGACAAATAAAGTCATAAAATGTAAATATATATATATATATATTTCAAAATGAATCATTGAGCATTTTTTCTTAACCAAACAACCCCCAAATCTACATCAACATATGGAAGAAAAAAAACCACTTGGTGTTTATTGTGGATACCATGCCAAATTAGTAATGCATCTAGATACTCTAAGTGATAGGATTTGTATGGAAATGTACACACCTATTATTGGATTATGATGATGCACATCTAGGGTGAAATCTGAACAGGTTTTCCTGGATCTTAGTGACTGTCTGCATCCAAGTATATCCTTCAATAGGATGGAATTTGATTTCAGTACTTAAGGTATCATTCATGTAGCAAAGGAGATGCTGACGATGTAGAGAAATTAATTTACCCAACATGCTTTAGGTTTAGAGAAAGGCATGTATTGCTCCCCAATACAGTTGTTTATCTATTTGTCTGACAGTTTTAACCTAATTTTTTTGGTCCATATTTGAAGCCTTGTCACTTCAGTAATATCTGTCATGACATTTTAATACTTCAAAAGAGGTTAAAATGTTACAGACTCTTGTTTTATCTATAAAATCATTGCATTTAACATATATATTAAGAGTTGCAGGAAATCTGGAATCACAGCTGTCAATATGTGCAACAGTTCAATCTCAAAGGACTGAGATGTCAGGTGTTGTGCGTTTTGCTCAAGTGGAGTAGTGTTTTTCCTGAACAGAGGATGCGGTTTTTGCTTTGTGTACAGTTGTAATGTTGTGTCCTCACTGTGAGATGTAACTCCGCCCGCCCCCTGCTTAACTAGATGTTTGGGCGGGCGGGTGTGATTCAGCCTGTCAGTGCGAGAAAACGAAGGTGACACACGTCAGAGGATGTTACCATCAACAGGTGTGGAGCCATGCCTGTGTGCTTTGGGCTTGTTGTTGATGGAGAAGGGTGGATATAAACAGTTTTGGCGTTTCGCGCAGACAGCAGTAGATGTTACTGGAAAAAGGCAGTGGTAGACTCTAGAATCTAGAACAATAGGCTGCTGGTTAATCAATGCACAGAACCAAACGCATTGAATAATTTCAGTCACTTTTGTACCATTTTATTCCTTAAACTGATGTATGACTTTGGACTTTTTGTCTTTAGGGACATGTGCAAATTCCAGATACATTTAGTAAGTCTTAGGATTAATTTTATTAACTCAATAACTTGGGGTGTAAATAATAATCGTTTTGTATCGATGCATCGATCCAAAAGCCGACGATCCGATGCATCGACACGT